TCCAACAGCAAAACTATGAGCAGTATAGCGTTCTGTTGCACCTTACTCGCTTCGATGGAGCGCGAAAAGGCGATTCACAATGGTCAGTTGTGACCATCGAGACGATTGAAAGACGAGTAGATTTACTAATATTAGGTAGATGCGATAATAATTTCAGTACTGATTGTTTGCCACAAATTAGTCATTGAAATATATATTAATCTAAATGTCATTTTGTACAATAATTCTTGTGCCAACTCGAACCCTAGTTTTATAGTGATATTATATGCCAATCGACTTGCGGATCTTCAACTAAGCTTTATCAAATAGACTTTTTAACGAAAGTCGAAGATGTAATGTGTAGTAAACAGTCAAAATTAAATGTTAAATAATTCATTTCTAATTTAAGGAAAATTAAATTTTATCCACGTAAAATGCAAGCTTCAACAATATGTTTATTTAGTCTGTGGCAACATCCCAAATAAATGTTTATATGGTATAAGTGTTTATGGTTATATATACTGAATAAACCATGTTAGCTTTGAATTGAAAGAGATACGGAAGTTGTGAAGTATAACTAAAAATAGTTTTTCCTGTTGATTTTTTCGCTGAAAACTGAACAAATAGACAATGGTCAGCCGATACTTGATCTGAATGCATAATAATCCGATATTGGTCGTGGGAACATTTTTGTGTGCCTCCGGGGCAGATTTCGTTTCAAATTATTTTGAGATTTGTGCGGATTGTTTACAATACAAATTATGTTGTTCAGTTTGGTCAGTGTTCAAACGCTAGCACAATTTGCAAACAGTACGTAAACACCAATAATACCTGTCAAACGAATATTTTACTAGGTACCATAATTCTTCAAACAAATTTGCGAGGTACCACCAAGGGCTACATATTATCATAGCTAAACTGCACTGTTGACTTGATTGATAACAAGAGAGTGATATTCCATAATCTACACGCTGCCAGAAGAACAATAGGTCCTATCCCATTTTTGACCCCTCCCAACATTGAAAATTATTTTATGATCTATTTTCTTTGATGCTGTTCACCTTTTTCAAGTATTACGCTAACCTAGTCTATGCTTAAAATAATCATAGATAGTACCGATTTATAATTACAGCTATCCCAGGAAAGTATCGCACAATCAATTCCTACCTTCATGTCTGGAAATGCTTCCAAAATTTCCTCCCAGAATATATTTGCAGGAATGTCCATACTAACGTCAACATCTTTGTACATTCGGTAAAAATCTTCTTTTGTGCCGCCTTTTGTAAAGATCTTTATCCAATCATTTCTTAGATAGTAAAAATTATGTTCGTAATCATAAACTTTGTATCCTAGCTTACGAAGAGCCGCATTCATCGACTTGGTACCAGTCTTTGAATGCCCAACGACTAAAACCTTCATTGTGAAATCCGAACGATGTTTCACGCCACAGTTGTCGACACAAATTAAATCGAATGCTGCTGAAATCGCTCTCGCTTTGCTTTATACATTTCTTCTGGGTAGCGATCGCAACAGACATTCTTCTCTCGCAGCGATGCGTCATAATAGTTGCTTCAAATGGCTTTGAAATGGCTCGTATTGTGGTTGGTTGGTAAAATCAATTTCAGACTTCTGCAGGAAGTAGTTTTCACAATCGTATAGTGTGTGCACAAAATTTCTGCGAGATTGTTGTTTTCAGGAACGAACTTTTGGAAGAATGTAATTTTTTAGGAATGTCGGTAATAAAACCAGATCTTCGGCCGTTTTCTCCAGGTTGGCTTACTCAGCAGCACCATTGACTAATCCCCGGGTGTCTATTGTGACGTAACAACTTCAACTTATTTTATACAAAAAAATCAAATAGTACAGCCATTTTGAACAAAACAGCAAAAAAACTTGGTTTAAAACAATTGTTTTAAAACAATTCTTTTTGAACAAATCCCTACCATCGACACGTTTGAGTAATCGCATCCCACGAAATCGATGCAATTAATAGTGTTTTTTGATTGAAAAGATTTTTTTAACATAGCAATTTTTTGTAATACAGGATAACTTTTGATTCTGATACAATATTTGATTTTCCGATGTGGACCCCTACACTTATATTCAAAACATCAAAAGCATTTTTGTACCTCTACGTCGGGAAACGCTCCGGAAATTTCTTCCCAGAAAAGACATGCAGGAATAGGGTTTTGTTTTTTTGATTTTCAAAATAAACAGCTTGTTTTAAAACAAGGGCTTGTTTAAAAATATTTTTTTTTGTTTTTTTTTTTATCAATTTTTGTATTGAAATACCCCCCTATCACCGCGAAACTACGGCAAAATGGTGCGTTTTAGCAGCTGCACACACCGTCGGAACAAAATTTTCTGAAATGTAAAAAAAAAAAAAAAATTGTTACAAGAGCCAAAGTTAGTTAGTTCTTGATGCAGAACATTAGTTTTCCTTTTATATGTTCGACGATCAAAAAACGATAACAATTTTGATTGTAAAATATCATTCGCTTTGCCAGAAAGTTGCCTTTTGGCGCCCATTTGGCTTTTCATTGTTGGATAAACTTTCATGCACTGTGGTGTTTTGGCGCAGCCCTAAAAAGCAGAAAAGATTCTTTTTTTTTTATATTTATCTAGATATAGGGTGGGGTAAAACAGATGGATAGACTATGCCAGTACAAACTGTTTGGCCCATAGAATTTCCTACGTACGTAAATACTGACCTACCGGTACCCGGGTACTGTAAATTATATTGTAATAGAATTAAAAGGACGCTGGGCATATCCTAGCTAAAAATAAATGGTTAACCTACAGAGTACCTGCACCAGATTACGGCATCGGCATTCTACCAAACACACTTCGTTATGGTAATGGTAGCGTTCCGATAACCGGCGCCCAACCGTTGGTGAAAGACGCAGACACGACGTTCGACACCAGAATGCTTGCTGAAAACCGAAAACTTCGCCGCCTTTGTGAATCTGGCGGGTCACAACTCCAACACGTGGTGGCGTAGTTGGACATGAGCGTTGTGTCACAGCTTGAGAGGGCGTGTGCGGGCAAGTCGCCGACCTGTTCGTAAAGACTGCGGCGTTTCGAATAGTTTATTGATTATAAGAATCGATAAGGGGAGTTTTGCTTAAATTTTTCTTGTTTTAACCTTTTTAATACAAAAAAACAAGTACAACCGCCATTTTGAACAAACCAGGCAAAAAAAAAACATGATCCAAAACACTTGTTTCAAAACAAATCTTTTTGAACAAATATCTATGCCGGGATGTCTGCAGCAGCATCAATGTCTCTATAATCTCGATAAAAGTCATCTTTCGTCCCCCCCCCTTCGGTCATTATTTTTATCCATTCCTTCCAAAGATAATATCATTTTCTTCAAACTCATAGACAGAATAACCTAGAGTGCGAAGTGCAGAAGCAAAGGTCCTCGTTCCACATTTTGAAAATGCAACTACCTATACCTTCATTTCGATTATGAGCGTTCCCCTGGGAAAGGGCACTTTACAATTGACTGTCAAACGTTGTACATTATCCGAACACGCTGCATGCAAGAAAATGTTTCTTTTTCATCTGATAGCCCACAAGAATTTATGGTTGGTTGGTTTGACGTGCAAAGAAATCAGTTGTAAATACCAATGTTGAACATGTGGAAGTAAATCAATTAACAAGGTTTGACATGTCAATGAATGTTTGAAATAGAATAGCATTGCGAAACCGCATGTCAAGTGGTTTTAAAATTTTAGCTTTATTATTTAAAAAAATATTCACCAAACTACCGAATAAAAGAAGGTGATAACGTGCTAACAAATATCGGACGTGTTTAAATGTCGAAGATGTGGGAGTAAAATTAACTTGACATGTATTGTAATTGTAAGTCGATGAATGTTGAGAATGAAATATCAGATTGCAAAAATATTATGTAGCCTACAGTGAGTGATCAACTGAGCTAAATTAGCTACTAGTACTATATGTGGAACAGTGCTACATGGGTTAAATATTTTTAATCAATATCATGGTTATGAACATGTAAACAAGTTTGTAAGCGTCATATCACAAGAAATCTGTCAGAATAACCAATAGGAATTTTCCAATGATCATGTAGGACAGAAAAAGTTTTTTGCTATAGGAGAAACACAATCCATCACAAGTCTGCAAACGCCACACAAATTTATTGAGAGTACTGTTGTTACGGTTTGTAATGCATGGCAATGGTTGGGTTGTTATACAGCTGTGTGTTTTTCGCGCGCTCCCGAAGTATGTGCACCAAGATGGCGCACAGCCTTAACCTGGTACACATACTATGTTCAGGTTGTGCGTCATCTTGTTGCACATACTTCTGGAGCTCCATTTTTCGTGTGAGATTATATTGAACTAGTATAATCATCTGCTACCTATCTTTATCTAATTTTAACTTTTGTGTAAATACATTAATGATTAATCTATGGATGTTTCTCCGAGCCTCGATTTCTTTTCGTTTTATTTCGGTACTATGACCAATCAGAAATAATGGTCAACGATGACGCAACAATGGCTATTAGTGCAGTCGCTCAGATACTTCTTGCACTAAGACAGATATTTGAGGCTTAATCATAGTTGTAAACATTGTCTCGGTTTTGCATGTTATTTGTCAGTTTTCAGCCGTGTTGTTGTTGTAAATAATTTGATTGTATACCCATGTCCTCCGAGGTGCTTTAGTATAATTGCAATATTCAAAAATCAGACCTGTCAGGGGTATTTAGGCTATCAGTACCGGTAAACAGCACGTGGGTAAATATTTTAATATACATGATGGTTTAGAACTTGTAAACCATTTTGTAAGCGTATATAGATTTTTAAATCACTTTTAAAATATATCTCAAAAATTTTGATATAGTACGAGGGTCGGGGAAACGGCCATAGTTTTATACTGTTCACACTGTCTATAAACAAGCGCCCAGTGGCCTGGTGAAATTTAATCTAACAATGCATCTGGTTTGAGGCATAATTTCATCTTCAAAATATCCCGCATTTGTTTCGCAAATATCTTTCCAGTGGTTATGCAACATTTATTCTCAAATCCTTCTAAATAAATTCTCTAGACAAATATAGGTATTTAACTGAAAGCATTTTGAACATTGCAACTCCGCTACTGAAATAGATATGTCCCAGGATGATTTCAAATCATCGTTCAGAAAAACGACTTGCTGAGAAAGAAAGCAACCACAGCTAATAACACTGAAATGGCAATTTTCGTTATGAACACTTCTCTTTTCATTTGTCGAGCAAACGGGCTTTCGTTAACGAATTCCTCCATCACTGATCCTTTTATATTTTTATGTGGAAATTGCTCGCTTGGAATAGGCTTTTCAAGAAATTTGCACAAAGGTTCCCATCCATCCGACAATTTCATTTTTAAAAGGCGGTCCTTCGGTGCTCTCTGAAAACGTATTGGTTTATGATAACTTGGTAAATGTATTAAAATTGGAAAGTTTATCAGAAAAAATTAAACAGATATATATATATACGTTAGTGGCTTAGCCAGATTTTTAAGAAATTTATCTTCAATAAAACTTCAACATATTTATGCCACAAAGAAAATGCCGCGATTCAACGAATATCATCACTATATAGAAGTTTAATTCTAGAATATACCAAAACTCTTCAAGTTTTATTGATTACCTGTAAAACACTGGTGTTGTGATCTCTGTATCTCTTTTTCGCAACAGTTGGACTTGCACCCTGGAAAATTTGATTCATTCTTTGTGGAGGGCAACAGAACGCGACGCGGCCTGTAACATTTATTATAATCGCGGAACAAAGATAAAGGCACAGTGCTTACATTATCACGCGAATACAAACAACTATGCATTTAAGCAGCGTTTCCCAAACTGTGTTCCGCGGTTCGAAGTGTTCCGCGGAAAAGTAATCAAAAATAAGTCTAAAATGGTCGCCATGGCGACCACGAAACGTGAAGTTGTCGCCCAACTGACCCTTCGATATCGCGTCACCGTCGGCCTAAAGCGGACTACTTAGGGTGGGGTAATGGCATTTTCGTTAATCGTCGGCCTAGTTTTTTGACTGTTAAGTTCATTATCATGTTTACAGCAATCCTTTTGGTTTTGGTATAGGCAAACAAGTAAGTCTAAAGAATAGAGGCAAAAGGTCAACTCTTCTTCCTTCATCTCTGCCTGGTTTTGGGTCTGCAGCTCGCGATATTGCAGAAAGTACTTCTATCTCCATTAGACATATCATTAGATGCAAGCCCCACGTAATGGAAAGTAAACGACATAGAAAGGTAAAATTAACGAATTGATTCATATACGCAGCATTTAAATTAAGAAGCAATAAAACATTTATAATAAATGCAATATGTAAAATATTCAATCATTTTTAGGTATGTTTAACACAATTCTGTTAGTTTTAGCGGCGCATTTGGCAACTCGCCACGAGGACCCATTGGGAACCGCTACATTACACTTTTTTCTTTATCAAATTTACCCTTTCATTTTTTGGTGTTCCGCGAGGCGAGATAAAAGTGTAAGTGTTCCGTGGCCGAAAAAGTTTGGGAAACGCTGCATTATAGAGATGTATCGGCCAATTTTTAGTATCGGTATCGGCTGAATATAAAACGATATTTTGGATATATTTAGCTTTTTAATGAAATCCATACTGTTTAAAAAAATTAATTAGAAAATATATTTGGCTTGGAGAGATCGTGAACTACGAGCCATGCACATCCCCACCCCCGCGAGTGGAATATGATTCTAACCTGTTTTTATCTATTTATCAGCCAAACTGGTTAAACTAATTTGGGTATTTTTGCTGCCAAATTTTATATTGACATTTTTAATATTACATGGTAATATTAAGAAATATATCAATCGAATATTAGTTATCGTATATATTATTGGCACAAAATCCTGCGCACACAACTCAATGTGTCAGTTTGACATGATAAGAAAACCACCCATAGCAGTAGAATTTTACCACCCACAGTAGCCAAACCCCATGAGTTTCTAATAGAACTCCGGAATAACTAGCGTCGGCGCACAATGAATCTGCACAATCAACGCATCTGGATCTCAAACATCAATTTCTTATTGTTTGTGATATCTCTTTTTCAATCTGAAATAGTGTGCACTGCAAATAATGCTTACGGACAATTGTTTTAACTCTTCTGGCTTGCACACTTATGAGAGTAATTACATAGTATCGGAATATCGGTCTTTTAAAATATTGGTGTTTTCTCTTGGTATCGGTATCGGTGCATCTCTACTATACACGCCTTTAAAAAGATTCAAAGATTTGCAATGTAGCATAATGAAACTGAGAATCGGACCAGAACCTATATCCCTAAGTCTGTATAGGAATCGTTAGTTCGTAACTCCACTTCATGCCACGCACACAACCCGTATAAATCAGAACCGCAGTTTGTCATAGATATGATTAATGTAATGTTAGAACAAAACCTTGCTTGCTGCATCAAATTACTAAAATCTCTAGTACCTGCATGGTGGCAGAATCGGAAATTTTTGTAAGCTGTCCATGAGAGAAACGGCCACGTGGCAACATAGTGATCATCTGCAATAGCCTTCATCTGTATTTGATAACTTTTCAACCATTCATCTTCATTGTTGCGACATGTGAAAATAAGCTGAAATGATATATATATATATATATATATATATATATATAAACTTTTGATAAATGTGAAGTGCTGTGCCAAATGATGTAACTATTTGATTTTGTTTCGATGGATGCAATGGGGTTGGAGATAGATATCCTAGCATGATTCACGATGTAATATGTAAGTCTGCAGTTCCAAGTAACATTGGAAGGAGGATGTCATTTTATTAATTAAATGTGACTGTTCAGAAGATATAGCATTATAGATTATTCCAATTTTCTGATTGCACTCCTCAGGGAAAACACGTTTGGAATCGCATAGCGTTTGATCAGGTAGGATAGGAGTTTGGGATATTCGCCAATCACATGATGATTTACACATCTGTTTGTTGATTACAGCTTTTCCTTGAAATTGCGCCTAATTATCTCAAACGTTGAATAATTGTCATACCGGATCTTCTCTTATTTGCGGAGAGTATACAATACTCGTATTGGGTAAACTCTACAATCCTCATATCGTGTAATCTCTACGTATAGCTCAAGTATATATATATAATAGTTTCATCAGCAGTTTCATCATCACATTTGATAGTTAACCATGGAGCCACTCGATTTTATTTCTAATTTTGTCAAAACGAGTACAATCACATATATACTATCATTTAAAACAATCGAATTAATTGAAAGTTTTAGATAATGTATTATTTTACGCACCGTTGCTTTATACAGTTGGTCGGCAACCACCGGGCCGCGGCCCATTGCAGGTCCGCGGAAAGGTTACTACCGGTACGCAGAAGGTTGACACAAAAACGGACAAGGCTCAAATAACACATCAACAATCTAACAACCACAACTAAAAAACATCACCCAATAGCAATGCAGACAAATACAATGCATCTGAGCAGCATGTCTGACTTCGTAAATAATTTTCACGTCAATATGTCGCAATGTTGCTGCATCAATTTTGCCTCTGCGTGAGAAAGTTCCACATCAGTCTAAATAAGATGTCTTGAACCGTAAATATATACTACGCATAAACAAAATGATTCTCGCTAACAACGTGACTGTTGGATTTGTAACCGTACGTGACAGTAACGAAATTTGTCCGGTTTGCGATCTTTGCCATACTAAGCTCTCAAATGAGGCAATTGTTAGAGTTGATACTATAAAATCATTTCAGCCTGGCCCTAGTATGCTGGTGACACAAAAAAGATGCCAAACGTCAGGACAAATGTAATTAAAAAAAAACATTGAGTTTATACTGTAGTATTTTTGTTAATTTTAGGTCCATATATTTAGATTAAGTCATTTTTAGTGTATGTATTATTCTTTCCTTATCCAAAGCTTGTTCAAAAATGATTTTGATGGTTGTACATAGAATTTTATGATTTTTTGTAATAAATACAGTAACTTGCAATAATAGTGGAATGCAAATATTAATATGTAATTGCATTTGAAATTGAAGAAAATAATAAAACTTAATCCAACTGTTTAGTTGCATCACAATATATGTCACAAACTAAAACTATCTTAAAAATATCTTTCAAGTATACATTATCAAAAACTGTTTGCGGCCCTTTTTACAATTTTCAAAATGCAATGCGGCTCTCGAAAACCCATGAGTTTGACACCACTGATCCATCTAATGTAGATTCTAGACCAGTGGTTCTCAAACATTTTTAGTCTCAGAGCCGCATTTCAAACCTCAAAGTTATGAAGAGCCGCACACAATCAACGCAAGGTAAAATAGCAACAAACCTTTGAGCGCGTATTTGATATACCAAGTCATCGCAACAACAACACACGTGACAACTGGGGCCGGGCAAAATATTCGAATAATAAAATATTCGAATGGCATTTTACTATTCGAATATCCGGTACTACGTTCCAAGTTCCAAGATTTTAAACTCCACATGCTTGATGACATGTCATTAGCCATTTCTTGCATTATCGAACATAAAGTTGATTAAAATTAAATGTTAAAATGACTTTTCGGCGTTTCATTGTGAAAAAGGCAATTTTAGGTCGTTAGAAAACTCTAGTTATATAAATAGCATGTATTTAAAAATGAGAAAAAGTTTTCCAAAAACTGGTATGAGTTACTTGTATGAAAAACACTCATTAAGTTGTAACCATATAAGAAATGTTATGTCCTACTCCCTTCAAATCACTTTGTATCAGGTCTTTAGTGATTCTACCCATCCTTGGCCAGGTTGAGCAAAGAGTAGAACGTAAAATCAAATGTGAATTTCGTTGTAACAATGCACACTGACTCGTTCACGAATTGTTGCGTCTATTATCATCGAAAATGATTACAATTGTTAAATTTTGAAGCATTTGGGCAGTAATAATTAGGCCTTAAGGCATGACAATTCCGTAAAGAAAATTGAGCATTACTCAGTAAGTATTTTGGCTACAATAACCATCGCCATCGGGGTGTTGTTTTATTGAAAAAAAAACGTTAAAACTTGAAGGAATGAGTTAAAATTTATTTAATCGCTATTTTAAATCAACATTCAGGATTCAGGTTTATCTATCTAATACTAAAATAACACGGACATCATAGAAAAGCATGAGAAACTCAATTATCATTTTGACAAATATCTGCATCTCGGTTACCGTTCACTTTTTTACAAGCGGTGATAAGAAAGATCAAATCCAAGGCAGAGGATAAAACTCAGAATAAAATTAAATTGATTTTGAAATCAGCGAAAAAACTGAAAATCCACGAAAGCAAGCCAATGATTACAGCCATGTCTAAAATCTTTCCAAGTGAAAAGTGTCCGAGTGGCCGTGAAAACGCTTACTGTTGCGTCACTATTGCATCTTGTAGATTAGTCAACGCTACGCAAATAAACACGGGGGAATCCATTCGACTGACTAATAGACTTCCGCATTTTAATTTCAAGTCAATGATTAGTTTTCAATGAAATTTTTTTATTTGAAAGTAATTAATTTTTAAAGCATTAACAAGAGCCGCAGGAAAGGTTGTTGAGAGCCGCATGCGGCTCTCAAACCCTAGTTTGAGAATCACTGTTCTAGACGATTCAAGCATTGCTTTGGGAAATAATATCACTTCAATTAAATTGAAAAAAAATCTCGCTATATTAAATACAAAATCTTTGCTATCATAAAGATAAACCAATTCAGCCACTCTAAATATATTGCCTTCACAAAGCAATGAATGCAAAATTGAGAGTTCATGAGCTATGAACTTTTGTTCTTTACTTTGTCTTGAACTTTTCATACTCCACAGCCCCTATTAATTTTTTTTAATTTTAATTACCATGTGATGGTCATACATATCTTTAACATGTATTTTCTGTCATGATGTATTATCTCAATGTGTCAAACTTTTAATTAGTGTGCATATTTTGCTCCCAGATGAAAAAAATGTATTGTCTTGTTTATTACCTAAGCTTGGAGTATTGACAAGAAGAGGTGCCAGTGAATTACGTGAAATTTTTTTTAACTTTTTGTTATAATCAGAATTCACAATTAATTATAAACAGCTAACAATCAGTGAGAATTATATGCGAAATCCCTCAGAATAAATTTTGTCTTCTAAAACCGGAGGAAAGAAAAACATATGGGTAGTTTCCATTCACACAAGTCTTTCATGAAGACTTGCTGGAGCCAAACTAAATGAGCATGGTCAGCTGATCGGTAAGGCTGCAGGTTAAGTTTCAGTCTTGCAACCTCCTGCATAGAAGCTAATATTAATTAGTGGGCTAAGAGCTGAATTTCTAAATTTAGACACAAACCTATCTACGAGGCATTATGTACCAGCAATGTTACCTACGATTAACTGAATATGTAATATGTCTAATAAATTCACCTACTAAAGTTCGATAGGTGCACACTTTGTGTTATGGAATTGTATCACAGCACCGTTAGGAGAAGAAAAAACAGTTTTGCTGTTCTGTATGACACCCTCTTTAAATGAAATTTCAATGTTTAAGCGCAAACATTAAAATTACTAACTTTGAACTTTGTCATTATCTGCAAAATGTTCCACACAAATCTTTACGCTATCGCGTTTGTAATCTTATCTGATAAAAAAACAAGAGAGCTACGCACAAATATATGGACACGTCAGACCAGAGCGAATCAGTCCTTACCGGTACCCTTGACGCTACCGGTACCCTCAAAAAAGTTCTGAAATTCCAGTAGCAAGACTTTTGCAGAATCAAAACGTACAGCCAGTCATGACACTGACTAAAATCCGTGTTCCCATGGATAAAAAATATTACAGCAAAATTTTAGACGAAATATCAAATTTCATAGAATTCACGCAAAATTTTGAAATAAATAAAAGTAATAGCCTTCTAGCGAAAAAATTAATCTTCAACCACTGAAAATTTCAAAGCAATTGGTCCAGTATTCGAAGAGAAAAGCGACTTTTTTAAAACGTGTCAAAGAACAAGAACAACAACAACATAATATTGAAACGATCGTTATGTCCATTTCGTGTCCAAAAACGTCTATGATGTCCAGAATTACTCTCTACAGCTTGTCTGCCATTCCAGCTTGCCAAGTGAGCAAAACTTCTTAGATATAGAGAAGGCAGGTACTACACGTAAAGAAGACGCCGAGTAGCAAAAGCGAGCGAAAACGGTCGCGAAAAGCGACGAGAAATATGTGCATTGGAGCGTATCATGAAATACAACCTTTCGCCTGTAGTCTTATGGAGTGACGTCAAAGTTGCCTATCATATTGTTTAATGTCATTGCTGTATCTAAGTTTGTTCGTATAAAAGTGGTCCGCCAAAATATTGGCTAGGCTTTACCGGTCCGTCACTTGAAAAAGGTTGCCGACCACTGCTTTATACCATGTCATGCGTGAAAAAAGTAAAACGGGATATATCGATTTTACGGGGACACTTGAGCTAACTGTTTAACGGTATTATTAGAATAGGATTTACACATTTCTCCCGGGAGAAAGAAAAGCCGATAAGAAGGCTTGATCATATGACGATCCATAGTCTTTCGTCCGGATAACAGTCCATGTTAGGGCTTAGTTAGCTTCGTATTTGTTTACTTGATATTGGACGAAGCCGTAACCGACCAGCAATTACGTGAACCACCCTGCGATGGGTATGAGTCCAGCAATCCTATCTCACATAATTAACCCCCGCGGAATTTGAACCTGCGAACCCATGCAGGGTAATCAGGGTGCTTTGGCAATCGTATTCCTGATGTTTAGCACGATGAGCAATACCGCCGAGAATATCATATAAACCGCCGCAAAGCGCATATAACATCTTGTCAGCCGATAAAAGGAGTAATGTTTGTTTCGAATATAAGCCGCAAGTTGTATTTCACACTTGGACAAGATAAAATTGACGATGATATATGTAGAATATTTCATAACATTTTCCTGTTGTAATTTGCCAAGTTTTGTAGCCCAAGGTAATTAATTACCTACATAGGATCAGAACTTGGAAATATCGTAGAAATGATTGATCTTTGGTAGCAAAACCGCTAACTAACATAAACCCAAAATAACAGTGAAGAAACCGTGACCTTTTGGTGTCGAGCATGGCGAGCGTGGCGTTAATTGATATGGGAAACCTTACATGCAAAAGTTGTCTGAAATTAATATAGACACATTTGAGATATTAAATCAAACGAAACCAATGAAATAAACAACATTTTATTCCTGACTGAACAAGATTTTTTCAAATATGGTGTAAAATAAGCAATTTCTTTGTGAATACAGAATAACTTTTGATTTTCTGATGTGGACAATTCCTACATTTATACTCGAAGCACCAAACACATTTTAGTACCTTGGTGTCGGGAAACGCTTCAGAGATTTCTTCCCAGAAAAGACATGCAGGGATGTCTGCAGCAGCATCGACGTCTTTATACATTCGATAAAAATCTTCTTTCGTCCCTCCTTCGGTCATTATTTTTATCCATTCCTCTCTAAGATAATTTTGATTTTCATCGAAATCATAGACTGAATAACCTAGAGTGCGAAGTGCTGAAGCTAAGGTCTTTGTTCCACATTTTGAAAATGAGACTACTAATACCTTCATCTCGCCTATGCGCGCACTACTTCCCTAGTTTACAATGATCTGTCAAACGTTGTGCATAACCCAACCGCGCTGCGTTCAAGAAAATGCTAATTTACACTCTGATAGCCCACATTCATGTAAACGAATTTGTAGTCAGTTTATTTGACGAGCAAACAACTATCAGTGGTGTTTAATGTTAAAGCTGTGTTAGTAATACTAACTTGACATAGTTTGCTAGGTCAATGGATGTCGGAAATAGAATAGCTGATTGCATAACCGCATGTTTAAGTGGTTGTGAAGTTATATTATATTACGTATTCATTAATCTGCCGAACAAGAGAAGGCGATAGCGTGAACAAATATCAGACGTGTTCAATGCCTAATATTGAATTATAGACAAAGGCAACAAAACACAGAAAGGTTGCTGCTAAGTGCAAATGGTTTAATGGCGCCGAAAATATCCAAATGGAATTTTTTGAGATGCAATGCAATGAGGAAATAAAGCTATATTCTATTCAAGAGATGTATCACTGCTTGATTTTAATTATAAAAGATATCATCAGTTCGGTTTTTAACTTTCTAAAAATATGAACGGCCCACCAATGACTTGCAACCCTTCATTTTGGCCCGCGAGCGACGAAAGGTTGCCGACCCCTGCTTTATGCAGTGCTTTTCCGTACCTAGCAATCAATGACGTGTTTCTGGCCTTCTTCCGAGATTGCCTTTTTCATGTTTTTGTAGCACAACTGACTACTTACCGCCACGAAATCTCATCCGTTGACGGCGTGCGTTTTCATTTTGCCGTAAGTGTTAAATTATGACATTTTATGTGTTAGATTGATATTTTGCGAAATTTTTGAGGTCGCTGAGAAATTTTTTTGTATTGTAACTGTGACGACCTCAAATTTTTACTTCAGTTTGTTCCGCAATTTTTAAAAATTGTTTTTGGTAGATGTTGTTAAATTACTGCTGCTAATTATTGTTACTGGAGTGTTGTCATTTTCCGATTTGTTCGGTGTATTCACATCTTAAATTGATTTTATATCGTGTTTGTTTATATTACTGTGTGTGTTTCACTAGTTAGGGTGAGCGGGTGCTTATTTTGTGCACCTTTTTAACACTAGCCTGATTTATGCTCGGCCCTCCATGTAACTCTGCATTATACCATAACGACCCAGATAAATTTGATTTGGTTGGTGCGTGTAAATTCCGCAACTGTATAAGGACTGTATATACAAGATCTTACTGATTAATTTAAAGAAATTTGCTCAAAGGCTCTCGTGATACGAATGAATGTTCGCTGACTGAAATAAGTGTGCAATCGTTTGTGCGAGAAAACACTCGTTTTCCCCAGTAGTGCATCAAAGCGCCATATTTTCAGTTACTACAAATGATGGTATCAAACTACGAATATTTTTTAATATTATTATGTCGTGAAAAAATTTCTACACTTGCCGCATTTGTGAGATCAAAGGTATAATATTGAGACCGAGTTCGACCTATGTTGTTTACCTGGTTCAAAATTAATTTGCCCAAAACGTCCACCCAGAAAGTCGAAACATGGCGTCGTGAATATCGTCTTATCAGCCGTAAAATATGGCACTCTAGTAAATTAGTGATAGTGCACTCCGAAGGCAGTTGTCATAAATTAAATTTTAAGATACCGGAATAATAAAATGATTGATAGTGTTTTATTTGGTTGAAGTTAACGATTCTACACATTTAGGCGTCATATCCTTCTTTTGTGGAATCCACTAATATAAATTTATCAAATATTCTGATAGAGGTCGCGATAGATAGGAATATATTCAAAGGGGGTCATGAGGCAAAAAAAGTTGGGACCCACTGAACCAGCGTCATCATATATTACCTATCTTTCTCTAATTTTTGTCACAATGATCATCAGATCGACTTTAATATTGGCGCTATATATTTTTCTTGTACAACTTATGCATCGGCTAATTTATACTGCCCACACTTTCTGTCAAGACTTTCCTCAGCAGTCTTGTAAAATCTTATCAAACAATGCATTAGGATTGAGACAAAATTTTATCCTACATTATCTGCATTCGGTTCTCCAAATATATGACATTTATTTTCAAAACCTGCCAAATAAATTCTAGACACAAAGCAAGTTTTATATTCTATTTATATCATTTGAAACATTTTATAAGATGTGCCACGAGATGCTTATAAACCAATTTCAGAAAAATGATTTACTCAAAAAGAAAACACCCACAGCTAATAACACTGAAATGACAAATATTGCTATGGACATTTCTCTTTTGATATGACGAGCAAACGGGCTTTTTTTATTGATTTCCTCTATAACCGATCTTTTTTTGTTTTTATGTGGAAAAGGGACGTTCGGGATAGGTTTTCCAAGAAATTTGCACAGAGGTTCCCATCCATCTGACAAATTCATTTTTAAAAGCCGGTCTTTCGGTGCCCTCTGAAAACATGTGATGATAACTTGATAAAGTTATTGTCTCATTATATATATGCAAAATAATTGATAAACGAGGCAGTTTTGTCATAAAAAAAAATGTGAAAATACATGAATCTTTTGCTAGTATATATATATATATATATGTCCCTCCCAGAATCTCAAATAGTTTAAATAGTAAACAAGTTTTGGAGCATGTTAAGTACTAGAAAGAAACAATGTCGCGGTTAATGATATGCAATACCTTCTAGAATATGTCAAATTTATCCTTTTTGAATTTTTTATCATTACCTGTAAAACACTGGTGTTGTGGTCTCTGTATCTCTTTTTCAAAACAGTTGGACTTCCACCTTGGTAAACTTGATTCATTCTTTGTGGAGGGCAACAGAACGCTACGCGGCCTGGAATATAATTGCGAAACAAAGAAAATATGCTCGGCGTTTCATAGCATTAGAACACCGTACAAACAACGAATATGAACGCCTTCTATGACATTTAAAGATTTTTGTCAATGTAGCAGGGAATCAGACTACCATGATGAGCCTAGAGCTCGAAGTCTGAATGTGAATCGTTAGTTAGTTACCTCCACTCTGTATCACGAACACAGCCAAATAAGGATATGTGTTGTACAGTTATGTTTTGAAACGCATTTAAACACTGAAATATTTGTGGCGATGTAGGAACAAAACAGTATAGTGCTCAGAATTAATAAAATCTCAAGTACCTGCATGGTGGCTGAATTGGAAATTTTCGTAAGCTGTCCAAGAGAGAAACGGCCATATAGCAACAAAGTAATTATCTGCAATAGCCTTCATCTGTAGTTGGTAACTTTGCAACCATTCATCTTCACTGCTCCGGCATGTGAAAATAAGCTGAAATGATATATAACTTTTAGCAAATGAGATGTGACATGTAAAATGATGTAATAAAGGCAAAAGCTTACAATTTTTATGAGGTAATTTGGAAATTCACTGTCTTCACAATTCCGTTGTAATCAGCGTCCTGAATTACAAAACAGGGCTCGCGGTGTATAAGCATCTGGTCAATGAGAATTGGTATGTCGCAATGTATTGAGTCCGCACGGCTAGTAGGAACCAAAGTGAATAAGTCGCTTTGCAGTAGAAACATGATGACAATGCTTTTCCATACAGATTGTAGGTTAGTCTGCTAACCGAACACAACGTTAAGCATCCTAAAGTTGGATAGGAAGATGTAGTAGGCATAGGCAATAGTATTATCGTTAAAAATTGAGTTGTTGACTTTGTGTCTGCAGTTTTATGCATCAACATATTTGCGGTCAGAATGTAGAACTTAGCATTGCCCCACTATTTTGGGTTGGCCTTCAACACGAATATCCATCTTTCCTAAAAAGCAAAAAGGCATTAACATTCCGATTCAATATCATTCAACTTTGTTCTGGGAGGTAGGATTAAAACAAAATAAATGAGAGATAAAAATCAATACCAACAAGCTCAAGTCTAACGACAATATGAGATGCTGTCTACTGTACAAACCTTACATGCATGCAGAACATGTCTAAAATTACCATCGACACATTTGAGTAATTGTATGCAACAAAATCGATGCACTTAATAGGGTACTACTTCTTTGATTAAAAAAGATATAATTTTTGATTTTTTGATGTGGTCAACTCAGACACTTATATTCGAAACATCAAAAGCAATTTTGTACCTTTACGTCAGGGAACGCTTCAGAAATTTCTTCCCAGAAAAGACAAGCAGGGATGTCTGCAGCAGCATCGATGTCTTTATACATTCGATAAAAGTCTTCCTTCGTCCCTCCTTCGGTCATTATTTTTATCCATTCCTCTTTAAGATAATTTTGATTTTCTTCAAAATCATAAACAGAATAACCTAGAGTGCGAAGTGCTGAAGCAAAGGTTTGTTCCACATTTTGAAAATGCGACTACTAATACCTTCATCTCGCCTATGCGCTTTCCCCACTTTACAATGATCTGTCAAACGCTGTACATGATTCGAACGCGTTGCATTCAAGAAAATGCTACTATTCCCTCGGGCATGCCACATTTCTTTAAAATAAATTATAGTTGGTTAGTTTGACGTGCAATGAAATATTAGTTAATATTTAATGTTAACGCCTTGTAAGGAATCAACTCGACATGTTTTGTCATGTCGAACGTTGGAAATAGAATAGCATTGCGAAACCGCATGTCAAGTGGTTTAGAAATTTAACTTTGGTACTTCTAAAAATATTACGTATTCACCAAACTATCAGTCGTGTTTAATGTTGATTAAGTGATCAATCAGTACTGCATACAGTACTGTGCTACAGGGGTTAAATATTTTTATTCAATATGATGGTTATAAACGCGTAAACAAGTTTGTAAGCGTCAACTCGCGGTTATACTACCGGAATGACCATTCAGAATTTTTCAATGATGTAGTACAGAATTTTTTCTGTTGTTGGGTAATCACAATCCATCGCAAGTCTGCAAAACGCCACGTAAAAGATATTGAGGGTACTTTTGTCACGGTTCGTATCGCATGGCAATAATTGATTGTAATACAATTGTGTGTTTTTGGTGTAAGATCAGAATGAACTAGCATAATCAACTGCTACCTATCTTTATCTAGTTTATGCAACAATGAGCGTCAACTCGTCCGTCACTTTCGTGCAAATACATTGATCTTGGTCCAATCCAGTGGTTCCCAACCACCTAATGTGCCGCGAAATGATTTTGGTGTGCCGCGAAAAGATTTTCATTTTTGAAATTATTTCAAGTGATTCCAATTTCAAATCCGCGAGAATTACCCCACGGCGTTTGCTAACAAACATAAACTACAAATTTGAGAAGTCGTATTTGGGTATTGTTTCAATTCGAAGTTTTGCATAAAGCGCACCAACGTCGTTTCGTAAAATTGAAAACGTTAAACAAGGTAACATATTGTTGTGCGAAATTTTTCCCAAATTTTACCAACGAAATTTTTATTGACTAGTGGAATTGTCCTTATTGCCGATTTATTGAATCATTATTTGAACTTAAAATAACATTCCGGATTCGCGCAATGACTTTGCCGGGTTTTTATTCAATATTTAATATGAAAATAAAACAGGCACAATAGAAAAGTAGAATTATAAGAAGGTCAATTATCGTCTTCAAAGATATCCGCATTCCGCCGTCAGCAATGGTAATATTGTCAGCTTGAAATTAGGACGAGTAATCTACAAACGGTGGGGAGAAAGATCAAAGCCGGCGCATGAGATAAAAATTGGAATGAAATCCCGAATTCACTCTTTATTAGCTGTCTTTAACATAATATGTCGCCGAATTGAACGCGTAGTTCTTCCAGGAATATAAAACCATATAAAAAACTTCGACGTTCCCTGTTGTGTAAGAATTGGTCCTTGTAAAAAAAGAGGACGGGCTGAAATAGCTGACCAACATTAGAATATTTAACGTTCTGGATGCCTGTTGTATATATATATATATACTAAAAATACCCGATATTCGATAATTCGTTAAATATTTGAATTATTCGATATGATAAAAATATATTCTATTTTGCCCTCCCTTGCGACGTGTAATCACGCCAGTAATCTGGCGAAACACGTGGTAGTCCAAACACTAATGAAACGAAAAAACCTTCCTTAAATTTAGTAAATTGCGCTACTTCACGAAAGCGTGGTGGAATAGACGATTATTTCCTATCTGGAACACTAAAACGGTTACCTTTTTCAAATAGTTTCTGCGGTCTGAAGAGTCGAATATGCGTTTCGACATAGTAAATGCTATGATCATTATCATCAATATATGCTCGGGCCTTGCACGAAATTCACAACGTGAAAAGATACGGTCAGTGGTTTATACCAACTTTAAACGAACTCAGTATTTTCATCGATAATAAATAATTGTTGTGATGAAATACAGTTTGTTTGCATTTTTCATTTCACTCGCAAGTGCCGACAATAACACTATTGAATGATTTTGGCAATGGGAGAAACATAACAAGTTGTAACAAAAAAGAATTAGGTTGTACAAAAGTGAGAATACCTGTGATAAGAATAAGGGCGTAACGTGGAACGCGGAAGGGCGACGAAAACCGAAACGCGTGATCGGAGATGCGTTTGAAGACCACGTATTATTACCCTTGCTGCTACGCATCACTTTTCGGAAATGATAATTTTGTAAAGCGACCGCGGCCCTCAACCCCTCTCGCCCGCGTTAAGAGTGTGTCTCTCTCGGAGAGTTAGGATTATGTCTCCCTCACATTCGTCCACAAATTGCAGCAGTAGTAAAGAAGCACAATGCATAACGGTCCTACTGACATTCTCTATACCTGTTAGTAAATAAAGGGTATGTTGTATTTACATGAATAAAAAGTCCTTTATCTGATCTTCATTTTTTTCTCAGTATTTTATAGCAAACTGACTTTATGAGTAGAAGTGTTCATGTTTTGTGACAGATGTGCCGCGAATATTTAAAGTGCTTGAATAGTGTGCCGCGATATAAAAAAAAAGGTTGGGAACCACTGGTCTAATCTACGGATGTTTCCCCGGGCATCGATTTTCTCGTTTATTTCCGTATCAATGACCAATCAGCAATAAGTCAACGATGATGTAACAATGGCTATTTGTGCAGTCGCTCTGACAGATATTGGATGCTAGCATAGTTGAAAACATTGTCTCAGTTTTGCATGTTATTTGTCAGTTTTTAGCCGTATTTCAAAAAATTAGTTGTAAATAATTTGATTGTACTCATATCCCCCGAGGTGCTTTAGTTTAGTTGCAATAATCAAAAATCAAATATATTAGAGATAGATAGGCTATCAGTACCGGTAAACAGCACGTGGGTGAATATTTTAATATATACATGATGGTTTTGAACTTGTAAACCAGTTTTTAAGCGTATATACCCTTTCCAAATCACTTTGAAATAAGTATCAAAAATTTTGATATAGTACGAAGGTCGGGGAAACGTCCGTGGTTTTATACTGTTCACACTGTCTATAAAAACGCGCCTGAATTTGGTTTGGGGCATAATTTCATCTTCAAAATATCCCGCATTTGGTTCGCAAATATTTTTCCAGTTGTTATGCAACATTTATTCTCAAATCCTTCTAAATAAATTCTCTAGACAAAAATAGGTATTTAACTGAAACCATTTTGAAAATTGTAACTCCGCTACTGAAATAGATATGTCCCAGGATGATTTCAAATCCATTTCTGTGACATCTTTCAGAAAAATGACTTGCTGAAAAAGAAAGCAACCACAGCTAATAACACTGAAATGGCAATCTTCGTTATGAACACTTCTCTTTTGATTTGTCGAGCAAACGGGCTTTCGTTAACGAATTCCTCCATCGATGATCCTTTTTTATTTTTATGTGGAAATTGCTCGCTTGGAATAGGCTTTCCGAGAAATTTACACAAAGGTTCCCATCCATCCGACAATTTCATTTTTAAAAGGCGGTCCTTTGGTGCTCTCTGAAAACGTATTAATTTATGATAACTTGGTAAAGTTATTGGCTCATTATATTTATATAGACAAAAAATGGATAAAAGGTAAGGGTATCAGAAAAAATAAACAGATAATAATAAATGAATCTTTTTCTGGCATATATATGTGTGTCAGTGGCTTGCCAAATTTTCAAGGAGTTTATCGTCAAGAAAACTGGAACATATTTGGTACAACAAAGAGAATGTCGCGATTCGACGAATATCATTAATTTTTATTTTAAACAATTCAAATAAAAATAAATTTTACGCGGCTCCCAACAATATATATAGGTTTAATTCTAGAATATATACCAAAACTCTCCAAGTTTTATTGTTTACCTGTAAAACACTTGTGTTGTGATCTCTGTATCTCTTTTTCGCAACAGTTGGACTTGCACCCTGAAAAATTTGATTCATTCTTTGTGGGGGGCAACAGAATGCAACGCGACCTGTAACGTTTGATATAATCATGGAAAGATGCACAGTGCTTACATTACATTGTCACACCAATACAAACAACTAAACACTAGAGATTTATCGGTAATATCGGCCAGTTTTTTGGGTATTCTGTATCGGCAACATGTCGACAAATATTCCCGATATTTTTAGCTCTTTAATCTAATCCAGAATTTTTTTAAATAAGGTACTAATTTTAGAGTTATTTTTTTGCTTAGAGAGATCGTGTTGGCGGCATTGTCCTCGTCAACTATGAGTCATGTTTGCCCCCACCCCCGGAGTAAAAACGGGAAGATGATCCTAAAGTATGTTTTTACCTGTTTGTCGGACAAACTATCTCACCTTATTCGACTATTTTCTCTGCCAATTGTTTGTATTGGCATTTTTAAGATCCATGGTAATTATTAAGAAATAAATTGATAGAATATTAGTTATATTGGCACAAAATCCTGCGCAAACAACCCAATGTATCAGTTTGACATGATAAGTAAACCACCCATATTAGTAGAATTTTACCACCCACAGTAGCCAAACCCCATGAGTTTTCTAATCGAACTCCGGAATTACTAGCGTCGGCGAAAAATGAATCTGCGCAATTAACGCATCAGGATCTCAAACATCAATTTCTTATTATTTGTGACATCTCTTTTTTAATCTGAAATAGTGTGCACTGCAAATAATGCTTACGGACTACTATTGTTTTAACTCTCTCGCCCTGCACACTTATGAGAGTAATTACATAGTATATATCGGAATATCGGCTTTTTAAAATATCGATGTTTTCCTTTGGTATCGGTATCGGCGACAAAAATGGTATCGGTGCATCTCTACTATACACGCCTTTAAAAAGATTTGAAGATTTGCAATGTAGCATAATGAAACTGAGAATCGGACTACATGATGAACCTATATCCCTACATCTGTATAGGAATCGTTAGTTCGTTACCTCCACTTCATGCCACGAACACAACCCGTATAAATCACAACAGCAGTTTGTCATAGATATGATCAATGTAATGTTAGAACAAAGCCTTGCTTGCTGCCTTAAATTACTAAAATCTCAAGTACCTGCATGGTGGCCGAATTGGAAATTTTTGTAAGCTGTCCATGAGAGAAACGGCCACGTGGCAACATAGTGATCATCTGCAATAGCCTTCATCTGTATTTGATAACTTTTCAACCATTCATCTTCATTATTGCGACATGTGAAAATAAGCTGAAATGATATATATAAAAACTTTTGATAAATGTGAAGTGCTGTGCCAAATGATGGATGCAATGATGGATGGATGCAATGGGGTTTGAGATAGATATCCTAGCATGATTTGTGGTGTATTATGTAAGTCTGCAGTTACAGGTAACAAAGGATGTCATTGTATTAATTAATGTGACTGTTCAGAAGATATAGCATTATAGATTATTCCACTTTTCTGATTGCACTCCTCATGGAAAACACGTTTGGAATCTCATAGCGTTTGATCAGGTAGGATAGGAGTTTGGGATATTCGCCAATCGGTTCCATTATCTTTGAACCCGCGTACATTTGAACCCGTACATCTGAACCCGTAATTTGAACCCAGAACAATTGCACCTGTATACTATTGCACCTATGGACATTTGCACCTACGGACATTTGAACCCATACATTTCCACCCATGGATTTTAGCACCCGCATATAGATGGAACCCGCGGACATTTGAACCCGTGTACGTTTGCACCCGCGTACATTTGAACCCATGTACATTTGCACCCGCGGACATTTGAACCCGTGTACGTTTGCACCCGCGTACATTTGAACCCATGTACATTTGCACCCGCGGACATTTGAACCCACGAACATTTGCACCCGCGGACATTTGAACCCATGTATATTTCCACCCACAGACATTTGAACCCACGTATATTTGAACCCGCGTACATTTGAACCCACGGACATTTGAACCCGCGTATATTTGAACCAACTTATATTATATTTGAACTCGCGTACATTTGAACCCGCGTACATTTGAACCCACGTACATTTTCACAAAAAATGTTTGCCCCAACGGCAATTTTCAGTCGCAAATTATTTTCATGTTACAGCCGCAAGCTCAATATTCTAAATTTCAACACTGTTTCACTTGTAGTTAGTTTTGGTGTATATGCATTTACCCGCTTCTACGAAGCAAGCATTTTTGAGTGTCATTATAGTCCGAGGGATAAACGTCTCTTAACGATATAAACAACATTGTTCTGCCAAGGTCTTTTTTCTTTTGCTGTTTTTTTACATTGACATTTGTAAAACCTTATCTCATTCGTTAGCCGCGATCTCCAAAACAGACGATGACCTAGAAAGCGGTATTTCGTTGAAATACCTGAAACCAGGGCTAATACGGAACAAATATCCTAGTCCGGCAGAATCGGGCCTTAACATTGTTTTGGGACATAAAGTTTTTTTTATTGTTTAGATATAATGTATATGACATATATAATGTTACCCAGGTGGGTGTGGAGTATATAATGTTGAGCAATTTTTTTTAAGTGGATTTAAAATATTCGGCCCAAGATGACGCATATCCTGAACCCTAACTTGGTAAACATACAATGTTCAGGTTGTGCGCCATCTTGGTACGAATACTTCAGGAGCGCCTTTTTGTTAAAAACAATTATTTCATAACTACATGGTTTAGTTTTGCATACATGGCAACATTGAATCTCCTTACAATGTCAGAAATTTAATTTTAGTAGAATAAATGGTGGTTTATTTCACTAATACAAGCCAAGATCCATCGACAGCATCTAGCCACTTTCTATTGCGCTCTTCAAACTACATTTGCGTTGCCGCGCGCATTTCGTTTTCCTAATTTAAGCTTAGGGACTTGGGAAATATTTTATTACTTGAATTGGATTGGAATATTTGACCTCGTCTTTCACTCCGAACAAGGCCATGTAAAACCATCCACTGGTATCTAAAGATGTGTAACGAGTTTTCTTTTGGAAGAACCGCAACCTTTCAGTGCTGCATTGACTTTGGCAAAATTAATATATCCTTGTGGAGATAGAAGGTATGCGTATGCGAAACCGAGATGTGCACCTGTTATGCCAACATAGTTGAGTCAAAGTTTTGAATACTAGTACATCACACACATCTTCCTGCGTGCTTCGGTTGTACGTAGTAACGCGCACATTTTTGCGCACATGTATCAAATTCCACTTGATTATTGAGCTATAGGTTTTTGACGAGCTTTTGTGTATGATTTCATTCCATAGAATTTGTATGCTGTTCTAAAGAATACTAGTTTCAGCTTTTTCATTCATTCAAACCTCGTGTTAAAAGTAAGTTTTGTAATATTGCGTGATGGTTTCCAATATTCTTAAATCGGTGATGCCAGTAAATCTTAAATACAAAAAGATCAGTAACATCTGCAATAAAAACAGCAGTACCCGCTCAAATGACAGCTGGGGGATGGATACTCTTAGTATCTGCTCCATCGCGTGCCTCCTACAGTCTTACCAGTTTACATGCGTGTCAATTGGTATCTAAGCTCAGCCAGAGACAAAAAGTTTCGGACTGCAGTTGGCGTGACGAAATGTTTTTAAATATATATTCTACAATAAGATTATTTGATTGTATACTACTGAAAGTTCCGCCTTATATGTCTTTTCCCATTGCACTATTCCTTTACTGATATTCGATAATATGAAGCTCACTGACATAGTTCTTAAAGTGTGTAGATGGGTATAATCTTTTCCACGCTGTTCAGGTGGGAATGCGCGAATATATATAAGAATTGCTAATATTGGTTTGCAATGCGATGAAATCCCATCTTGGCATTTCTGCCTCTCGCAATTGCTGCGTATACTTATCGGGGAAATTCTGTGGCGTGGTTATCAAATGAAAAAAAAAAAACATGGGAGTATTTTTTCTACTTCTCTACTACTATCAAACCTTGACATTTTGTGAAAACTTTTTTCCATGCAACCTTTTTATAAAACATCCCCAACAACCACAATTAATTCTGTTATTAAACTTCCGAAACAAACACATCATCAACAGATGCATATATCACCAAGTAGATATTGCTGAATTGATCTTTATTTTACCATTTTTCATGTAATTCTTTTTGATAAACCTGTTATCTATCGTAAATACAGCACATTTGACAATGTTGTAGTGTGCCACTGCTTTTTTTGGCCTCACATATTTGATATTTGTAGTTAGAGCTCTTGGGGCTCTGTCAAACAAAGTTACATACAAAATATTAGTTGTAAATTGCAAAACATGATCATGTTGTTGGAATAACTTGGCATTTTACCACCCGTATATCATTCATTGTTGAGAATATTAATAAAATCATAAAATTCAAAAATCCGTTCTTGTGAAATTTTTGTTGTAGCTAAATTCCAGGGACAGCATGACAACAGGCAAGAGAAGCACGGTCGCCTCTTTTAGTTTATGACAGGGTTTCTTAAAAGGGGACCCCGTCCTCCTTGGAGGCCGCTGATCGGTTATCTGGGAGCACGAACAAACAGATGGAAATGCGAATATACAATTACAACGTATTTTTATAGAAGAGAAGAAGCAAAAGTGTTGAGAGTCTTTGGTAGTTTGAAAAGCATTGGCATGGAACATAAGAATGAACTACATTCTTTCCCAGGGATATACTATGAAATGTAGCAATTTTCTCATGCTTGTTCTCGTGATATCATTATCTTTCACTGTGTCGTCGTGATCATCCCGCTGCCTAACAATTCTCGCTAACAAATAATTGACTGTTCTCCACTGGGTGTATATCCACTTGAACCACTGGCATTAGCAGGCTTGTATTGTTAATTGCAACAAAAACGGGTATTTTAAAATAGTACTCTTTATTTTACGCGCATGTTTCGACAGTATTTTCATATACTTAATATGGGTCGCGACCCAAACTGGGCTCAACAAATACCTAAAAGTGATTGATTTTATTTTCTGGTAAATTTGGTGCTTGCGTAGTTTGTGCACCAAGATTGCGCACAACCTGAACATAGTATTGTAACAGGTTATGGTTCAGGTTGTGCGTCATTATGATGCACAGGTTTGACGAAAAACACTAATACAAATATCGAGCCGTAAAAAAAATTGCTCAAGGCTGCAAACTCCACACCCATGTAGAAATGATGGGCAATGACCCCAAGATGAATAATCACAAATAAAAAAAACTTTATGTCTGAAATCAAACTTGGGCCAAAAAGGTCCCCTTATCTGCCGGACTATCTCACAGACCAATGAAGTCTTAAATGAGGGTCTTACTAAAACTAGCTTTACAGTAATATTTTTAGTGGTCAACTCCTATAAATTTGTTCTGAAATTATTGCACCGAAAACGCCTACTATGATATCCCGCCCAGCATGAGATTTGGGAGCTCTGTGGCCACTTCATGTTTTCTTGCTAGCATGTTTACAAAATTGTTATATGTATGCATACACGACCACGCTTTACTGTTGAAAATGAGTGATGTCTCAAATCAGGTTTTGCCATTTTTCCTAAAATCAATCTATAAATTGAATACTATTGTCTGTATATAAATAAATAAACGCACAGATTCTTCGTTTCTAAGAAAATATGAAATTAAGATACTGAAACTATGCCATTTTTGTAACAACATGTTCATAGCCAAATGCCAGTTTTATTGAAGTATTGTTTCATTAGAATGTCAGAACAAAACAAAACTATACATATAAATCGTAAGTCATGTAAATATGTTGAATATTCAAAAGTGAAGAAGTTTTAAAATCATTATCGTGGCCAAAAATGGTTTTTGCTGTTTACACTATTTAGAGTAAATCGAACATATTCAGCATATAGGGGGTCTGTTAAATATGATATTGCAATTTACAAACGACGTCATAGGTTACGGATTACATTTATTTTAATATCTCAAATAAAGTTATCATTCACAAATTTGTGTCGAATGGGCGATCAATTTTGAGATAGAGTAGCTATGGACGTTTTACAAAATAGGAATTTATCAATTATGATACAATAGTTAAACAACAAATCAAAATAATGACAATAAACGAAATTTTACGTTATCACGATCAAAATCAAATAGACTGCATTTGAGCTATTGAGTGGAGATACCTCAGCTTGTCGGTTTCAGTTCCATATGAAAAAACTTAACTGACAACCTAACAGCAAGTTGTACATACTTTGATCTTTGGTGGGCCGTAACTCCTACATGAGCATTTGCCGCAGTCAGTTTGTGGACCGCAATGTCTTTTCGTAGGCCATTCAGCAAACCTCATATATATACTCGGATGTTTGCATCGGAACATTCCTTGTAAGGCGTTGTGAAATCCTTCTACAGCTTTGTTGTTCTTGGGGCATCATTTCAATCTCTTTGGCATAGTTCCACAATCGAGAGGGAAATCTTGCTTCTCTTGGACGTGAACCCACTTGAGGTCCACGAATGTAGGTAGATTCAAAATATTGCAAAAGTTGATTGCATTCGGGCAAATCTTCAAAGGTGTCGCAAAGCAAGGTGAAGACTTCGGCAACCTCGTTAATGGGAACAAAAGCCAGAGCTGCCAAACTTCTAATTTTCAGATTGAAAGAGGGTAAACATTCAAACTTCTCTTTTAATCCGATAGAACCAACTTTTCGAATTATAGCCTGTGACAGGTGAAAATAACATCCTTTAAAATCGGCCAGAGGAAATTGTGCATGGAATGCATTGATAGCTGCTATTTCAAAATCAACAATGATTTTGGTGGGGTTAGCATTTGGGAAAATGATTTTCAACACTTCCAACATCTGAACGTATGTTTCTTGTCGCTTGTCTCGTAATAGGAAATATACGCATGGTGGATAGGATGCGCCCACTTTACAGTGAATTGTATGCAACTGGAAGAAAATATAGGGCACCACCTCAAATGTACCGTCGCCAAGATATGGGTCACTATCTAGATGTGCAAGTAGTGATCGATCTCCAATGGTCATTATCCGATGACGATCCTCCGAGCCAGTGTCATGCAAAATGATATCTAAATATTCGCTTGGAATATCAAAGCTTGCACTTGTAGGATTCGTACGTGAACATTTTTTCCATCGCCTTACTCTGCGTATATTGGCCTCCAGAGTCGACTTGCCTGGCAAGCGCATTAGTACATCTGTTGATCTATTATTCAATACTTCACCTAAAATATATCTTGTCGATGTATTTGATGGTGTTGATGCTGCTTCTTTTAATGTTGCACGGATGATCCCAACTTCAGTCTTAATGCTGTCGCCAGAATGTGATATCCTAGTTCTTTTATTACATTTTCACCGATCGTAACAACAGTCGATTTACATCGAAATTTCCTAAACTGACGGCAGCGCCAATGAGTAGCATCTGAAACCCGATCATTTCGCTTACAATATTCGTGGCCTTTGTAAATCAGTAAGTCGTTTCCTCTTGTGGTCTTGGAAAATGTAGGCGCCATGTTTCCAACTTATTTTCGCAAAGGGACTTGTCATCTTCGCAGCTACAACGTCCTGAAGAAACAGTTTGGAATTGTCTGCGAGGGAAAAAGGGCATTGATGCGAGGAAAAACTTTGCGCGGGATCGAACTAACACATCAATTAAAATCCTTGCTCGCGCTCTTCAAGAGTCGTCGACCGTTCAAAGCACAAATCATACTCCCCAATTTTGGCTCGCATTCTACAGCGGAACATTTTGTCCATTGAGTCTTATGATATCGACAATTGCGATGACAATGGCAGACGGAGTATAATATAAATATATAATATAATTCAAATATATAGAAAATAGTTGTAATAAAGCCTTCGAGTATATAATCGAGAATTCCATGGTGTTTTCGCAACGTATGCATTTGGAGAAAGAATCCTAAGTGTACCTTCCAATCCTATATACTATAGTATATGGCATGGAAGGATAAGGGTGTATATTATGTAAAGACGCATATATCCGTAAATGCATATATCCGTACGCGGGTGTAAATGCATGTAGGTTCAAATGTACGCGGGTTCAAATGTCCGTAGGTTCAAATGTCCGTGGGTGCAATTGTACATGGGTTCAAATGTCCGCGGGTGCAAATGTTCGTGGGTGCAATTGTACATGGGTTCAAATGTCCGCGGGTGCAAATGTTCGTGGGTTCAAATGTACATGGGTTCAAATGTCCGCGGGTGCAAATGTACATGGGTTCAAATGTACGCGGGTGCAAACGTCCACGGGTTCAAATGTCCGCGGGTGCAAATGTACATGGGTTCAAATGTACGCGGGTGCAAACGTACACGGGTTCAAATGTCCGCGGGTTCAATCTATATGCGGGTGCTAAAATCCATGGGTGGAAATGTATGGGTTCAAATTTCCGTAGGTGCAAATGTCCATAGGTGCAATAGTATACAGGTGCAATTGTCCTGGGTTCAAATTACGGGTTCAGATGTACGGGTTCAAATGTACGTAGGTTCAAATGTGCTGTCACCTCGCCAATCACATGATGATTTACACATCTGTTTGTTGATTACAGCTTTCCCTTAAAATTGCGCCTAATTATCTCAAACGTTGAATAATTGTCATACCGGATCTTCTCCTATTAGCGGAAAGTATACGATACTCGTATTGGGTAAACTCTACGTATTGCTCAAGTATATATATAATAGTTTCATCAGCATCCAGCCACTGACACTGTTTACGAATTAGGTGAATCACATTTGAAGGTTAACCATGATGCCACTCGATTTTATTTCTAATTTTGGAAGTTTTAGGAAATGTATTATTTTACGCACCGTTGCTTTACACTATTCAGCTTTGCCATGTCATGCGTGAAAAAATTGAACGGAATATATTGATTTGAAGGGGACACTTGGGATAACTGTTTAACGGTATTATTAGAATAGGATTTACACATTTCTCACGGGAGAAAAAAAAAAACGATAGGAAGGCTTGATCGCATGGCGATCCATAGTCTCTCGTCCGGATAACAGTCCATGTTAGGGATTAGTTAGCTTCGTATTTGTTTACAGATACATGTACTTGATATTGGACGAAGCCGTAACCGACCAGCAATTACGTGAACCATCCTGCGATGGGTATGAGTCCACCAATCCTATCTCACATAATTATCCCCCGCGGAATTTAAACCTGCGAACCCATGCGGGGTAATCAAGGTGCTTTGGCAAGCGTATTCCTAATGTTTAGCACGATGAGCAATACCGCCAATAATATCATATGAACCGCCGCAAAGCGCATATTATAACACATTATTGTTTGTTTCGAATATAAGCCGCAAGTTGTATTTTACACTTGGGCAAGATAAAATTGACGATAATATATATATGTAGAATATTTCGTAACATCTTCTGGTTGTTATTTGCCAAATTTTGTAGCCCGAGGTAATTACCTACATAGGATTTGAACTTGAAAATATCGTAGAAATGATTGATTGTGACCTTTTGGTGTCGAGCGTGGCGTTAATTCTCTAAGATAATTTTGATTTTCCTCAAAATCATACACAGAATAACCTAGAGTGCGGAGTGCTGAAGCTAAGGTCTTTGTTCCACATTTCGCAAATGAGACTACTAATACCTTCATCTCGACTGTGCGCGATCCCCACTTTACAATGATCTGTCAAACGTTGAGCATAACTCGACCGCGCTGCATTCAAGAAAATGCTAATTCTCCCTCTGCTGGGCAACATTTCTTTAAAACGAATTTGTATTCGATCTGTTTGAGATACAAACAAATATGATGTTTAATGTTGATTGATAGCATTAACTCGATATGGCTCATCAGGCCAATGAGAGTGGGAAATGAAATAGCTTAATGTGAAAAGTCATGTAACACAACCGAACAAGAGAAGACGATAACGTGCTAACATACATAGGACGTGTTCAGTGTGTTGCTGATAAAATATTTATTCACTATAATTTTGATTTCTTTTTCTATCCTGCGTGGCATTGTATATATTCTAGAATCTAGACAGATATAGACATTTTACCTTTTGTTAGTGGGCATCTTCCTTCGAATGTTACTTTTATTTTCTTCAGTTTGTCTACTTCTTCTTTTATATCCGTAATGCATTTGTTCCAATTATCGCTTCTTTCATTTCCTCCTCCAAAATTGATGCCTAATATTTCCACTTGTGTAACATCATTTATGTTGAACGAGCTCGGTGTTTCTTGTAATCCCAATTTCATGATTTTTGTTTTTGTTTAATTTCATTGCTGTTGCCCGTTCAAATTCTTGTATTGTTTTCATAGCCATCTCTAATGATGTTTATTTATTCAATGTTAATGTTATATCGTCAGCAAAAACTATTTCTTTTACTTCAATATTTCCAGGTATTTCCTGGTTTCTTTGAATCGATGTTATTAATGGCTCAATTTCTATTATAAATAGATATAAACTTACTGGATCACCTTGCCTGACCCCTCTTTTAATAGTAAAACTTTCACTTATTCCACCATTGACGATAATACAGTTTTTCATGTTATTTTGCATTACCTTTATTACACTAATTATTTTATTTTTGAAACCAATTTTTCTAATGCTTCATACATATACTACAGATCGACAGAATCAAATGCTTTTTCAAAATCCAAGGATACCAGTAATGATTTACTATTGCCTCGTTCCGCTTCAGAAACTATATCTCGTACCAAAGCTTATGAATCTGTGATTTTTCTCCCAGGTATTGCAGTTTGATATTGAATTATTATAATCGGCATCACCATTTTAATCCGATTCGATAAAATCTTTGATAATATTGATTAATCCTAAAGATTTGTGACATTAGCCATTTGTTCGAGGTTATACTGTCTTTTGGGCTGGTCTTCGCGTATAAGTAAATGAATCACGTTTGTGATTGTTCGCTTACTTTATCAATAGGATGCAAGTGCGTGTGTTGGTAATGTGTTGCAATACTCATTTTCTTTTTATCGCGGCAATATAACCAAGTTCTTATAATATGGACGGCGCAACTGATCATCTTTTATTTGACTGATTCACATTCGCAACGCCACACGACAAGTATTGAGGAAAGTAGTTGTGTTCAATAAGGTACGTATAGCTAATAGCATGAGATTGATTGGTATCAATATTTTTACATGTTGTTGGACGTAACGTTATATACAATGGAATAATGCGCTTACACTTTTCTATCACAATGAACAGTAACAATGGCTCGGATGAATATATATTTGTTTGACTTATGCGTCGGTGAATCTACTACTCTATTCTGCTCACGATGTCGATGAACAAGGGCATCAGTAATCTGTCAAAATCCATATTATGTTCTACATTTATATTGCTGCCACCACGCCAGTAAGGGGGGATATTACTAGATCCTGCTACGATCCTTCGTCCGGAATACAACTCACAAATCCATTGTGACATAATATTGAACGCACACAACAACAGGCTCCCACACTCATGGGCAAGTTGATTACAGTGTTTCCATGCAATGAAACCGAAGGGAAACACTATTAAACTGTCTACACGCTTTAAATACCGTGACGTGTGGCCATGTGCGAGTTGATTTTGATTCTTCTCTAATCACCTGATGGTTTACAAAATCCTCAATAACAAAACTGAATTAGGACAAATGGACTATACGGAAATATTAATACCAACTTCGAGAAAATGTAACATTCTTGCGCTTAATTGGCGTTTTGGTGCGCCATTGCCATGCGTCACAAAAAGTAGGTGAAACAGGGAAGGAATCAAATTTACTTACCATTCTACGAAGTGGATTGAGCGAATCAAAAAATTACTAGTGTACATTGTTTTCGTTTTGACAAAACTAAATTTTTTTTAACCAAAGTGCATTGAAACTGCCTCTTCCGCTCTATTACATTCTTGTTGTTTGGCATCGGAGGCGCTAGTGGTACATACGTTCACCAATTTTACTGAATGTGACTTCATAATACCTTCGCGCGCTTTCGCAAAGCGTGAAACTTCCAAGTACTTGATTCGCTTTTTTGGTGGTTTTTCCCTGTTTTTGCACGTTTTGGCAAGGTTTCTAGTGCTCTTTGACGGTATTCGACCTTCATAGGACACTGGAATTGCAGATTTGTAGTGCAAAGTTTTATTTGTCTTTTTTGATATATTTAAAATTATTATCAACAACCTAAATTACTAAACTGTTCCAATCACCTGTCGATTGTTTCGTAAGCTGGATGCTACACTGTCAAGTAGCCTACGTAAATTTATTGTTGGTGGTTGGTTTGTTTGGCGTATACACAAATATATACATATCAGAGGTGTTCAATGTTAAAGTTGTTTGAATAAAATTAATTTGACACAGTTTATTATTGCAGTGAATGTGGGAAATAAAATAGCTGATTGCGGAAATATTTAGTAGCATGCGTTTACTGAACAGTAATAAAAGGTTGAAGATTATCAACAAAAAATAATGTTTTCATATTTGATTTTATTGTCAAAATGTATTGCACTTTCAAACGCGCATTTTGGAAGTATTTTTGCGAGCTGACAATTGCACTAGTTTACATTTCCAATATTTTTTCTGTATAAAATGTTCAAGCAGCTGCATTCAAAAAGTACTGACAGCTAGTATTTTCCACCCCATTTCGGCAGCTGTATATTCACATTTCACGCAATCACACTAGTACTTTAATACGGAAATGATGGCTAAGTTTCGAATTTATATTTCGGAAACATAACCAAAATTTGACAAAAACCACTCAAATTTATGAAAAACAAGTGAGCAATTCTCAAATATATGAACCGTAGGCTTATGTACATCACGATTCCAAGCGAAATTAATTGTTCGTTATACATAGCGAAAGAGTAGCTAAAGTATGTATATACATCGAACAATACAACGTCATAGATAGACTTATGTAAACAGGAAATAATTTTATTGCACGAATTTACTCAAATGGACACACTATCCTATGCCATTGTGCTCAATGTATTCTTTTTCATATTGTTGTTTAATCCAATCTCTGTTATCATGGTAAAACCAGCGCAGCAAAGAGAAAAAAATGCGGCAAAGTACTGCGCTGGCCTGTAACTCCCGGTCATGTCTATGATAGATCCCACAGTAAATGGGTAAACGATGAGCCATATTCCAGCTAAGAGGCAACGTAATCCTTGAGCAGCAGCTAAGTCCTCCGAACGAAAAAAGTCTGATAAAATCGTTACAGGAAGAGCTGTAGTTGATCCTAAAAAGCAGAATTTTGTGATGTTTATCTTGATTCGTGAAGTTTAGTAATTTCCGAATATTCACGCTTTCCATCGTATACATAGGCCTACTCGAAATGTACAAATATTTTCGCATGAATGTTCTCCCCCAGAGAGCCACATGTCACACTTGTATGGTACTTCAGGATTCTGAAACAATATAGCACATAAACACTCTGCACTTAAGATAATAATGAACGTGGAGTCGCGAAGGCGATGATCAGTTTCATCGTACCATACATAATTTAACAATAATGACTTTATAGTAATTGCATAATTAATAGCTGCTTTGTTCGGTAACGGGTATAATTTGCAAAAATCTACCGGATTTGCAAGTTACACACATGTGATTTACAAGTCGAACCTGTAATTATGTCATTCATAAACAGATGAGTAACAATGCGACAAAGCTAACATTAGTGAACTGATTGATAGCAACGCAAAAATGTATAAAGGTCGTACCTGCAAATATACCATTAAAAAAACCACCGACTAAAAATCCGACGAAAGTTTCAAATAGAACTGGAATCATAATCGAGAGGCTAAACAAAATGGAAAAGATGGCGAGAATACGAGATCTTCTGATAGACACACATGAACGATATGTTATTGACATTCGCCGGCGAACTCCTGTGGAATCTGCGTATATAATATTACGATGAAAGCAACAATATACAGTGGCGTATCTATGGTATGGCAGCCATGGCCCGTGTCATGGGCGCCGTTTGAATTGGGGCGCAAAATGGGTGAAAAGTTTTACCCGTAAAATGTTTCAATAAAATGATTTCAAATTGGATTCAAACTCGTATTTTTTCTTCAATGATAACGTTGAAGTTTTTCAATTCAACAACAATCGTTGAAAATTGTCAATCAACGGGGCACATTTTTAAATTTCGCCATGGGCGCCATTTTACGTATATACACAACTGATAATATATATGTGTGTGTTTACAATAAACAATGTACATTTACGCTAGTGGGAGAATGCGTTATGTGAAAAGAAATTTAATGTATATATACGAGTACTGTATATAATTTGTCGGAAATAAATTGTGATATTCTTTTTGTTCAATACAATTTGACATCCAAGATGGATGAAGTCTCCAAATTCAACCTGATCCCAGAAAGCACAGTTCATTGTAACATATGTTCAATATTGTTACCGCTGGATTCCCATAACCCAATCTAAATAGTATTACATTTACCTTGATCTCTTATTGACATTTTTCTGATGGAGCTCGCACTGAAGCTCGTTAAATACCCAGAAATGGGACCGACTAAGACCGATGAGAGTTCCTGCAAAGTAATAATCCAGATAGCTTTAGATTCGTTAATTCCAACACTTTGTGCATATCTAACTGTGTAGAGACCAACTGAAAATCGCGAAACGGTCACAAATGACATTGCAAACGCGTAACAAACAAAATAGCGATTTGTCAAAAGTCGTTTCCATGTTTCAGGCGAACCGGATTTCATTGTTTCGCCAGATTTCCTTTTTGTACTTTGACCGTCTTTTTCACAACAAGGAAGTTCATTACTTGTAGAATCCTCCGCGGGTATATGAGAATCGTTATTATTCGACTTTACTTTCAGTTTATTCGACAATATCATTTTATAATACCAGGTCATTAATAGGCCCAACGGCAGGGCATTGAGAATGATCCCACCAGTCAAGAGCAGAGCGCCCCTCCATCCGTATAACTCAATCAAATATTGCGTCAGTGGAGCCATGACAAATCCAACCATAGAGTGTGATGTACTGAACATGTTGTTGACGAAAGAGAGCCGCTCAGGTACTGCATGGCCTGACATTGTGTACCATGATAGGTTACATATTCCAACTCCAAGAGCTGCAAAACATAGGTCCTGTTTTCAAATTACAGATGTATATATTTCATTATTGGGGCGAAATTATTTAAAGTGAAGCGTTCTATTGTAACGAACATCTGGAACAGATTTTTAGAACCAGTCGTTTTGTCGTGCCGGAAGTAATGTGTAACTATGATTATACTACATTTTTATTCGAAGCAAAAGATTCAGTTGCAAAAGAGCTAGATAAAATGATAAATCCTATAGGAAATGACGCCAAAACGTTAAATAATATTGGCTATCAACATTACGTTGAAATAACTCTACATAAAAATATACCGTGAATTGAACAAATAAATAAGGAAAGAAATGCATCAATATATAATATGTCAATTTAACGCCCTAAATATCATGCTTAGGTGAGGACGGGGACAACAAAAAATTAGCTCATTGAGGACTTCAAGCAACCAAAGAATTCGAGTTATGCATATATCTATAAAAGTGAGTGCAGAATACAGGGTGGTGTTGACGACGTCTTAAGCATTATTTTAATAATACATGACATAACACAAGAACAATAGGGCAACATTAATTATCATTTAGTTTTTCATAATTTAAACTGCAAATAGTCTAAACACAACAACTCGCGAATCACTGATAGGTATAAGCACCAAAGTAAAGATTTTTTTAACTCTTGTTTGAATAAATTATAGTTCTTGTAACAAATTACACCAGAAAGCAAGACTGGAAGAATAACGAGTAACCTAAAATGTACTATTGTGAAAAAAAGAGTTGATATGCGAGTAAATGGTACTTCAATTAACATAATAGTCAGCGAAGGCAATAAGCAGATTATTGGACACGTAGTGGACATAGCGATCGTTTCAATATTATGTTGTTGTTGTTCTTTGACATTTTTTTGACACCTAGTGGAAAATCTAAAAAGTCGCTTTTCTCTTTGATTACTGGACCAATTGCTTTGAAATTTTCAGTAGTTGAAGATGGATTTTTTTTTGGGAGGCTATTACTTTTATATATTTCTAAATTTTATATGAATTCTAATAAATTTGATATTTCGTCCAAAATTTCTCTGTATTTTTTTTTATCCATGGGAACACGGATTTTAGTCCGTATGAAGACTGGCTGTACGTTTCGATTCTGCAAAATTCCTGCTATGAAAATCTAGAATTTTCTTGATGATACCGGTGGCGTCAAAGTTACCGGTAAGGACTGATTCGCTCTCGTCTACGTGTCCATATATTTCAGCGTTGCTCTCTTGTTATTATTAAGGTGGTGGTGACTTGGTAGTGCATAACTTTTATAAATATCAGTAAAATTTAATTGTAATGATAGTTGAAATGTAATTTTGATTGAGGTTCGGTATTAGTAATATTGCGATAAAACTGTTTTTATAGTTAGAATGCCACATTAGAAGATTTTGTTTGCTGAATAACATTTTCAAGAATAGTACCCCAAATTTATTTTTAAATCAACCCGAGGTTTGCATTAATTTGTTGTCATTGGCATAGTTTTTGATTCATCAACACTTTGATTTTCATCCAATTCGCTACTTGTCCTATTTCTGAAGAACATCGGTAGACTTCACAATCAATAATATTTGTATTGTCTTCGAACAATTCCGAATAAAATGCGGAACTTCAATGATAAAGATTAAGAACAATGTGGAACTCAAACAAGAACCCCGAGGGACCCGTGGGTCATTCGTAGGGCAGGTAAACATATATACTCATTTTTACAAATTGCGATCTATTGGTCCAGCAATAAGTTGTTGATTTACCGCTACTTTACTTTATAGCTCAGAGATTAAAAGTTTGTAATTAACAGTAAGGTTTTTAAGATCAAAGAATGTTCCCTTTTTTGTCAGTTTATTATAAAGTTATCTTATTTAAATTTGCATATGGAGTGAAATGTTTGCTTTGAAAACCGAATTTATTTACTACCTCGTGTACCGTACGTGTTAGGCGGTCGAACACATCTCTTTGGTGCTACAATACAGCTGAGAAAACGGTGAGGTGATGCAACCACCTCCAAGCTAATTCAATTTACAAAGTTTAAGCATCGGCATGAAGCCAACTTTAAATTTATTACGATTTTTGATGTTTTGGTACTCCCTTCTGTTCAGAATAATAATTGCAAGACAAACTCACCCGCAGTATTTACCTGTAAAGATACCAAATGATACGGCAATCAATTCTACGTTTGTCATGAAAGACGACAGCGCAAATCCGAAAGATGATAAAATGATTCCGATAACAGCTGCAATTCGTGCTCCACATTTTTTGAAGATTACAGTTTCAATTGGCCCTATGATGAGCGATACAAATTAATAGTTCGATCAATTTACTCGAATACAAACAAATATAGGCTGACTAAACAATAACAGAAGCAATCGGCAATTGCATTTACTGGCCGATACGAACAACGAGAAAACACTGTTCAAATAGATATATGGCCAATGCAATGTCAGTAAAACTCTGAAAACAATATTAATTTTGCAAAACTATTTATTTAGAGACCGAATTGTTATTTTCATATTGCCGGTATATGTCAAGGCTGTGTAATCAAACAAAGGCCTATCCGATTCCCGGTTGTCAATATAGTCGACCCCGACTCCACAAAAACGAAATTATGATTACGAAAAAACCGTGAAATGGCATTATTTGGATTTTTTCGAAGTGCCAGGAAAGTATCAGTGGTAAAAAACGTCTGTAGTAAATACAGTATACGTTTTAATTTACGAGAATAAAGATGTAAAACTCTTGGTCTCTAGACACGAATAAAACATACTGCCATAATTTGGTTAGCAGTTTGGTTCTACATTTCCGATGGGTTGCCGAAGGTCGGAATATGATCCAACTTCTTTGCGCTCTTTACGGAGAATATAGAACTGATCATACAGTAACTTACCGTATAGATACATTAGCGACAGATTGATTCCCAATGCTAGAGATGTTAAGCTTGCAGAAGAGTCAAGATCACGTTGAAGATGAATGAAAAATAATCCGAGTAATTTATTTGGCGCATAAAGTATACCGAAACTTGCACATCCCGCTAACGTGAATGCCGTTTTATTCTTGCGGCTCATATTCGTATAACTTTCGGATAGACTACGGCTCCACCTTGTCAGATAGCACAGCCAAGAATGTATTTGCTAGTAACTATACAGCTTCGTTTGTAGTTCTGTAAATAAACACACGCTTCCATCGGCCAATACTGAGACAGCATATACGAATGTCGTGATGAAGCGCTGCGTCGAAGGTGATGTCGAATTATACATGCAATTACGTCATGGTTCAGTAGGCACCGTCATTCATTTAGATTTAGGTCGAGTGTCTCCTCAGCGAATAAACTTAAGGTCAATAATGGATGACAAAGCGCCCAAGCCTCGTACCGTAAAAGCGACACTGCGACTATTTCGTAACAGTGTATAGAAGGGATTTGCAACCTGCGGTCCGCGAGCCAAATGCAGCCCACAAGAAAAAAATTATGCGGCCCGCGGAGAAGTGCCAATTTTTAATGGTGTGTGGGCCACGAAGCGAGTTTTCAATCTAGTTTAATCTGGTACATGCGAGTAATTCGAACCTCTTTCTTTGCGTTGCAAAGCATAATTGTGTGCTTAATTATCCTCTTGTATTACAGGTTGCACAACCCTGGTGTGTAAATTATGCTGGTCGCCGCATCGCCGATTACCCTGCGTGAGTTCATGATGCGCGCAGGATATAGGCCGCGAGCCGAGGCCATTTATCTTTCAGTTTCGTAGCGCACATAAGGTAACTACCTGAAAATGATTTTAAAATGTTCCTTGGAAATTTAGTAACAAATATTGCCTTGTTCCCACTTCCAAAAGTTGCACATTTTACAGAGAAGATGCTTTTACTACAATAAATATGTGTTATCATCTGTCCTATTTTCTCTGCTTTTCCGGTATCATGGGCCAATGAACGCAGACTTCTATATGACGTAACAATCAAATTAGTCAGCTGTAGGTGGATCCCCAGTGGTCGGATGAATATCAGATGTACTACTTTTTTTTTTTTCAGTTATTATTAGTTTAGTTATTCTAAGGAGGTGTTGAAAAGTATAAGTAAAAGATATTAAACACTTGTATATCTTTACCATAAATAGCAATTTTAGTTGAGCACTAGCTCATAAGACGTTGTTGAATAGGTACGGCAGTACGGTGTGGTAACTCCAAGGAAGGCTAGACCTAGAATAATATGTCACAAACAACGATATTTTCTGGCTTGCATGAATTGTTTATGATTAATTTAATGACTCTTCTTGACTATTCAGCAGACTTATACTACTATATAGGCCACAGCATATTTGTTAATAGAAATTAATGGCTGTTTCTGTAATGCACGGTTGTGTGAAAGAGAAGAAAATAATCAATTTTACTAATGTCGGTTGGTCTAAATCTAAATTCATAGAGTCGACAAGAACCTGGGAAGCAATGATAAGTTATGCCGGAGTGGAAAGGAAAGTATCATTGGAAACGATTGAGAGGTGAGAAATCAAGTTGTAGACAGACAGTTGATGTTTTAAAATATAGTCTATAGTCCATACTCTACTCATACTGTCATAGGGCATTTCAGACTGTGATATATCAAAATTTAGTGTAGATATAGTCTAGTAATGGTATGCAAACACTGCTGGACTGTAGTACATGCAATGAGCATATATACGCTCATTTAGTACATCAGATAAAATTCATTATGTATTCAAGGTATTAGTTAGTATTTAGTGATATTTTTACACTCATGCTGTTCCAAATATGATTTTCTTCCTCATTTTAGATACTGTACCACTAAAGAAAACGGCAATGTTCTACCAATCCGACCTAACGCAGGCTCTAATCCCTGCTGCTATCAGTGCTATAAAATGGATTAACAAGAAGTCTTGAAGCGTAAAGGTATATGAGAATCATAATAGTTTGCAAACAGCTTAGATGGGCTATTCATATTGAAATACTTCAGCACTTTTCTGCAATTGGAACTGCCCATCAAACTCATGATGGAGACTTCATTGAGGTTTTCAATTTATTTTTTTCTCAACTATGAAGATCTTTTGAGGTTAACGAGGCATTAATAAATAAAGCTGAGAAATTCGTTTGTTCACTGTATGAAGATGATACCAGGGCACGTCTATTTAACACTGGTAAACATAAGGATTATACTCTATCACCCAACAATGATTCACTGAAGATGCATGTGGCCCTCGAATCAGTTCTTGAGTTGGCAAACTGCAAGTGTAAGAAAAATAGTCAAAATAATTTATGCAAGTGTGCCAAAATCAACTTAAATTGCACAGATTTTTGTTTTTGTATTGACTGCAAAAATCACAGTACACTTATAGAGGAAAAGTCGATTTTCGAGATAGTGGATTTCGAAAACAATTCAGAAGAAAGTGAATTAGATATTGCAGTTGATTTAATAAGTATCATTTATTTGTTTTTGTTTTTCGGACATTTGTTAGTGTCGTAGTCCTGTTTCTAGAAATAATATTTATTGCCTTCGTTCAAATACATAACCACATAAACTAAAAAAAAAGACTAATTGTAATATTTCTGTTCGCTATGTTATGTACATATTGCACATTCATTTAATTTTCTCGACTTTTCCGTTAAATTCTAAGTGAGAAATAACTGATTTATTTGTGTTTTCGTGCTCACGATGTTAATTTGTGACTTCATTGCTTGAAAAATAAATACGTTTGATAGCTTCTATAAAATGGATGTAGCTTTTTATGCTGTTCTTGTTGTAAACTGCTTGTGGTTTTCACATAAAATTTATTCGCTAATGTGAATCAGCGTTGTTGGTGTCGCTGCTTTCGAGGTCACTCGCGACTCCTGTCACACAATTAAAGTATTTTTTGTTGTTGGTTACATGTATGCCATATTTTTCGTAATCTACCCAATAAATTATGATTGACTGAGAAAGTCCGATTTTGGTCAGGCAAAACATTACGGGAATACATTTGTGTTAGTGTGCTGTAGGGCTCTCGAATTGCATAGTTCTTATGTATGTGTTGTAAACTTATGGTTATTGAATTTCCGGGAACCTCTTATATTCAATTTCGCATCAGGATTGTGGAACAAGCTGGAATGCGTTAAGTATGTTCATTTTCACACAAAACTGAAGAATTTATTTAGTTACCAGATGTGTGCTACGAAACTCATTTTCTGGGCGTTTTCAAGGCTCCGTCTCACGGCCCATATTCGTGGTAAGGATCTACAAGTGTTTAATAACTTACTTATACCTTTTTTCAACAACGTCTTAGCATAACTTAATTAATAATAACTAAACAGAGCTATGGAAAGGCTGCCCAACTCAACGCAAGGTCGAGCAGTAATAACTAATATTCATCCGCTCGCTAACAGCTGATTCGATTCAATTGTTACGTCATGCAGAAGTCATTGTTCATTGCCGAAAATGTAAAAGAATATAGGACAGATCGTAGCACATATTTCTTGTAGTAAAAGCGTCTTTTCCGTAAAACGTGCAACTTTTGGAAGTGGGAACAAGGCAATATTTGTTACTAAATTTTTAAGGAACATTTCAAAATCATTTTCAGGTAGTTACCTGATGTGCGCTACGAAACTCACTTTCTAGGCGTTTTTCAGGGCCTCGGCTCGCGGCCTAATAGCGAACTTCTTCGGCGGTACGGGGTGGTTCTGCGGTGAAGAATATGATTATCATCTCCCCCTTGACCATTAGCACAAGTTTTAAATTTTTAACAAATTAATGTATATGTTTTCGGTAGCTTTCGCGAGTTTAATTATTGGACACGTTTAGTGGACATAACGATCGATTTGTTGTTATGTTGTTCTTTGACACTTTTTGAACACCTGGTGGAAATTTAAAAAACCGCTTTTCTCTTTGATCACTGGACCAATTGCTTTGGAATTTTTAGTGGTTAAAGATGAAATTTTTCTCCAGAAGGTTATTACTTTTATTTATTTCAAATATTTCTGTTAGCTCTGTGAGATTTGTTCTTGTTGCTATGACGTCACTGAACGTTCTGCGGACGCATATGCAGGCACTCCTCTTTTTGATCACGTGACATTGAACGTTGGCGTGACGGCGGATTCTGAAAGTCGTTGCAAATCGCAAGTTTTTCGAAGTTATCGGTGAATGGCGGAGATGCTTGTCATACAATAGGTATAATATTGTATTATTGTTATGCTCTAATGACTTTTCATGCGTGCCCTATTTTCTTTATGTATGTTGTGGCGCATGAATACCTTGTTTACAGTGTGTCTTCGTTTCGCTGTGCTGTGTTAGAAGTAAATGTGAATACTTGAATATATGAGCTGATTGTTGGTGTGGATGGTTAGGAAGTAAGGTGCCTCAATAATAATAATTATAGTTGCCATCAACAAGGAGAACTATAACATGGTGTCAGAAGTGGGATTAAAATTTACTTCCGTGAAAACCAATGCTGGATTAAAACTTCGTACCGGTAAGCCTATTTTGCCTTAACAAAGCATAATGGCGGATACATTTAAAACACCGGAGATGGACTGGACGAGTGCAGGCAATATGCATAAGCGGTTTAAGTTATTCAAACAGAAGTGCGACCTTATCTTCGACGGGCCACTTGCTGATAAACCGGAAGCCTACAAGGTGAGAATGTTATTACTCTGGATCAATGATAAAGGTCTTGAAATTTACAATACATCTGTTTGGACAGAGGAGGGTGATAACATGAAGTTGGCAAGAGTATTGGAAAAGCTTGAAGCCTATACTAAACCGCAAAGTAACCAGATACTAGCTCGTTTTCAATTGCGAAGTTTGAAACAAGGTGACACATCTCTAGAAGAGTTTGTCACAAAAGCACGATCTCTCATTGATGAAAGTGGTTATGCTGCAACTGCAGTAGATGAAACACTACGAGATATATTGGTTTTTGGTTTAAAATCTGACAAAGTGCGTAAAGATGCAATTGCTTTGGGTAATATGTTGACATTCAAACAAATTTATGATCTTGCAAAAACAGAGGAATGTACCAAAGCACAAATGGAGATTATTACAACAAATAACACAACCAATGATTTACATGCAATGAAGAGACAACCAGCATATAGAAAATCCAACAACAAGTCAGTGTTTCAAAGACAAAGACACAGTAAGCCAAGCATGAAGAATGAAAATAAGTCCAGTGCAGATAGATACGGTGGAAGACACTACAGATATGATGATTGCCCTGCAGCAGGAGTACGATGTAATCACTGTGGGCGAATCGGGCACTTCAAAAGAGTTTGCCGCATAATGCAAAGAGAAAGACATAAGCTACACGAAGTAGTGGATAAATTTGATAGCCATTACATTGATGATGGTGGATCAAGCGAAGACGAAACAGGGAATATTGGGTGCATAAGCTCAAATAAGTTGCATAGACAACACAGTATAGTGAATAGTATGATTTCACGAAGCGGATCAGTCCCTGTCAAAGAGAAAATATTTGTCCGAGTGAAGTTGAATGACAAATTCAATGTAAAACTAAAAATTGATACAGGAGCAGATATATGTACAATCACGAGAGATGATTTACGACGCTTGGATATAAAGCTCCATGTAAAAGACAATAGCTGCATACTACATAAGTATGGCGGTGGAAGAATAAAACATTTGGACAAGCAAAGATAAAAGTTACTTTCAATGGAAAATCAATGTGGATTAATTTCATTATAGTTGAAGGTAATGGAAGCCCATCAGTTCTTGGATGCAAACAGTCGCAAGAATTGGGTGTAATAACAGTAAATATCCATGATATTGAGAGCGGAAAGCAGAAAAAAGTGAATCCGTGTAATACAGAAAATTCTTGTCAAGAAGCTGCTGAGAAAGGAATTCTCACGAAAAGTCAATTGCTTGATGAATATAAGGATTGTTTTGACAAGATTGGTCGTTTTCCACATGATAGATACCACATTCAGTTAAAAGATAATGCACAACCAGTTGTACATCCACCTCGAACAGTGCCTGTACACATTTTACCTTTGTACAAAAAGGAGTTGGAAAATATGATTGCAAATGATGTGGTAGAACCAGTTACACAGCCTACCGACTGGGTAAACTCAATTGTGTGCAACGTCACAAAGACAAGTGATGGAAAACAAAAGGTACGCCTATGCTTAGACCCAAAGGACCTAAATAAAAATATAAACAGGGAACATTATTACAGTCGAACAATCGATGGAATCTTGCCAAAATTGCATGCGAAGAAATATTTCTCTGTTGTCGATACAAAAAGGGGATTTTGGCATGTAGAACTAGACGACGAGTCAAGTCTACTATGCACATTCAATACACCTTTTGGAAGACATAGATTTAAGCGACTCGCATTTGGCACATGTGTTTCCCAGGATATATTCCAGAAGAAGCTGGATGATATATTTCAAAATATCCCCAATGTGACTGGTATAGCCGACGATATAATCGTGTATGGTGAAACACCAGAAGAACATGACAAATCATTCATAAAAATGTTGAATGAATGCAGAAAAAATAATATTGGACTGAATAGTGAGAAATTGCGGTTCAAGCAGAGAAAGTTGAATTCTATGGACATTCCTTGTCAGATAAAGGAATACAACCATCTGAGGATAATTGAGAGTGATAAAGAATATAAAATCACCGGAAAATGCAAAGGAATTGCTCACCATCCTCGGAATGATAACATATCTCAACAGATTTTCAACGAAAATTGCAGAATTATCAGCACCGCTGAGAAGATTGACAAAGAAAAGTGTACAATTTGTTTGGGAGTCTGAACATCAACATGGTTTAGATAGAATAAAAGCTGAACTTTGTACAGTGAGAATTTTATCATATTATGACCCTAACCCAAACACAACTACAATTTTGCAATGTGATGCAAGTTTAAAAGGTCTTGGGGCCTGGATTAGACAAATTGATTGCAATGGTGAAGAAAATATAGTTGCAAAAAATATAGCTGCTCACAGATGCTGAAAGCAGATATTCTAACATAGAAAGAGAATGTTTAGCAGTTGCTTATGGTCTGGAGAAATTTGAATATTATCTATATGGACGACATGTAATTGTTGAAACAGATCACTCTCCACTAGAACAAATATTCAAGAAAAATATTGTTGACGCTCCAGCAAGACTGCAACGGTTATTGCTAAAATGTTTAAAATTTGATGTCACAGTCAAGTACAAGCAAGGAATAAAAATACCTGTCGCTGATGCATTGTCAAGAAGAGTGATTGAAAATGAAAAAGAGAAGAATAGCGAGCAATATAAAATACACTTCATGGTAAGTGAAGCACCACCAATAAATTTGGAAGTTATAAAACAAGCGACAGATGAAGACATGGTATGTAACAAGTTGAAAGAAATTATTTACAAGGGTTGGCCTGATCAAAGAAAACAATGTCCACAAGAGTTATGGGACTATTGGAACTTTCGATGTGATTTAGTTCTTGAAAATAGCCTCATTGTCAAAGGAAATCGAATAGTTGTACCTAGCAAACTAAGGTCACAAGTTTTGAATGCTCTTCACAGTGGACTTCAAGGTGAAACTGAATGTTTATTGCTGGCAAGACAATCAGTGTTTTGGCCTGGAATTACAAAAAATGTAACTGACATGGTAAAGAGTTGTGAGTTATGTAACAAATATCATTCTGCTCAAGCAAAAATGCCAATGATGAAACCTGATTTACCTTCAAGGCCATGGAAAAAACTTGGAACAGATATTTTTGAGTTCCAAGGCAAGAAGTATTTAATGATTGTGGATTACTTTCAAAGATTTCCAGTTGTGAGAAAACTGCAAGATATGACAGCTGAATCAGTATGTGAACAATTTTCAAATGTACTTGCAGAATATGGTTTATGTTCCACAATACTAGCAGATTTTGGATCTCAATATGTGAGTCAATTGTTCAGAGGAAAATGTGATGCTAATGGCATTACAATGTCCTTCAGTTCACCTTATCATCACCAAGCAAATAGTCTCGCAGAAAGAGCTATTGGCACTTGTAAATTATTATGGAAAAAAGCAAAAGAAGAGGGGAAATCTCTGGAATCAAGCTTATGGATTTATCGAGTCACACCACTTGATTATCAAACACCATCACCATTTGAATTGTTATTTGGTAGAAAACCAAGAACATTTATGCCTCTGAATGAACGGTCTTTACAATCGAAAAGTACAGAGCTTGAAAAGCAGCAAGAGATTAATGAAAATAAACAGGTGAAACAAAAAGAATTTTATGATCGAAAAGCTTCCCTTGACAGAAGACCACTGTCGAAAAATGAAGATGTATATGTGTGGAATGATCTTAGAAGAATATGGGAGCCAGGAAAAATTGAAAATATACCAAATCCTGTTAGAGAGCCAAGAACCTACACAGTTCTATTGAATTCGAAATTATATAGGAGAACTCGTGAACACCTAAAACCAAGAATTGCTGCAAATAAGTCAAAGTATAATGAAAAGAAAATTTGAATTGAAACCATTTTATTATACACAAGCTCCAGTGATTGATAATAATCTAAAGAACAGTACAACTCCTGAAGAAGTACAAAATCAGGAAAAAGAAATAAAAGCAGAAGAGACACATAAAGAACCTCAACCTACAATGGATAGAAATACTGGATTTATACCAAAAGCTCAGACAACCAAGTCAGTGTGGCGTACCAAAATTGATATCACCACTCAGGTTCTTTCTGCCAGCTTATCGGACACCCAAGTTGCAATAGATGTCGTTCACAAAACAATCTTCTTGCGGTTCCAATTATAGCAGAGTAACTAAGTTAACTAACTAGATTAATTATACACCTGTAAGAACTTAATACAACCAAATACTCCAATAAGAAATACAATAAACAAATAAAAACACAGTACAAATACCGTAGGATACATACGTAACACAAGATACGGAATTGGTCTATGACGTCACAGTCATGAACTATTTACTTATAATGGGATACTAAAAACCGGGTAAAACATACCTAGATATACATAAGAATAACTAGTATGACACTAAAGATACAACACAAATCCTATCTTATCGACAAACACGTAATATACATGGAAATACGCATAGACATACGGAAATCACACAGGAAATAAACTGCGAAAATAGACTAGTTACGGAAGTGTTAAATACAAGCTAACTAGTGAACAGAGCTATGCCAAACTGGAGAAATAGTAAACCTGTACTACTAATATCATTTCACAACAAGAATTACACAGATTAACGGCACGAAAACACTATAATAATAACCTAAACACAGAGGAAATTCCACACTGCCGGCAGTCTGACAAACCAGCTAAAAGAGAAAGTTACACAGCTGCTCACTAGTGACTCAAGTGGTAAGAATAAATATGGGCATACAGAATAAAACAGAGTTATAGACGTGGTCGTCTCATTACTCCCCCCTTTTTCAGATGGGAAATTACAAAGAAATTTTCCATCTTCAAAATTGAAAAACCATAAAAATGTGAAGAAACTGCAAAGAACTGTACACTCAAATGAAATGTATATCTAAAATCAAAACAATCAATTGTTAAAAGCACTATCACAGTCAAATCAAATGTAATCATCCAAATATCTAGGCCTTCGCCTAGTACGTTGGCCATTATCAGAGTTCGCATCAACTGTAACTTCTTCTGGTACAGTGTCTGGCCTTGAAGAGAAAGGTAATTCTACAAAAATATCATGAGCAACCTGCTCATTATTTTCCATAATAGGTTCCACATCAGGTAAAATGTCAAATCCAGTTAAGTCAATATCATTGTCTTCTTCATCTTCATGAAGGTAAGGTCTCAGTTTGTCAACATGCACAATTCGAGAACGTGTTCCCGAATTCTTCTGAATCCTATACAAGTGATTAGGTAAACAGTCCACAATTCGATAAGGTCCAATCCAAGGAATACTCAGCTTGCGATGCTTTGGTGGATAATAATACCACACCAATTCATCTCTCTGGAAAGTAAGTGGTTTAACACCCAGATCAAAATTTCGCTTTTGTCTGGTTGCAGCAGCATTTAGATGTTGCCTAGCATGAAGAAAAGCTTTTTCAGTTGCACAGGAAAACCATTCGACAAACTCAGTGTAACAAGGATGAGTTGATGACTCTGGTTTGCCAAACATAACATCAACAGGCATCTCGATTTCTCGTCCAAGCATTAACTTGTTCGGTGAATATCCTGTACTATCATGTACAGTGGAGCGATATGCCATACAAAGATATGGGAGATGGTCGTCCCAATCATTTCGATTCTCATTTACAAAAGCTTTCAACATCTGCTGTATGGTCCTGTTGAAACGTTCAACTTGTCCATCTGAACGAGGATGATATGGAGTTGTTCGAGTCTTTTGAATCCCGTACAATTGACACATTTCTGAAAATAATTTTGATTCAAAGTCTCTTCCTTGATCTGAGTGGAGAATTCTTGGTACCCCAAATCTCGAAAAGAATTGAGTAACCAATGCATCAGCAGTGGTGTCAGCTCGCTGATTTGGTAAAGCAAAACATTCCACCCATTTAGAGAAATAGTCCGACAAAACCAAAATGTGTTCATTTCCATTTTCAGTTACAGGCAATGGTCCAAGAAAATCAATGGCAATCCTTTCCATAGGAGCTCCAGATATAAGTTGTTTCAAATCTCCCTGTCTTCTTCCGTAAAGCATCTTTGTTGAAGCACAAGACTTGCAAAATTTGCACCATTTCAGAATGTCCCTTTTGAAACCAGGCCAATAAAATCTGCGCCTTATACTCTTGAAAGTTCGATTAGCACCAAGATGACCTGCAGTGCGCAAAGAATGGAGCTTATGGAACAATCCTGCCTCAAATTTGATGGAACAATCAATTGGATATGCGATTCCTCCGATTTACAATCAGGAATCCAACGACGATAGAGAAGTCCATTATCTACAAAAATCAAGTCCCACTGCGACATTAAACGTTTGGTCACTGTTGATTCAGGCATGTATTCTTGAATGTCAGGTTTCTGAGCAGTAAGTTGTTTCCATTTCAAAACAGCAGAAATATCTGGATCTTCACTTTGCCAAGATTTAATTTGCTCATCTGTGTAGGTATCTAGCCAATTACAATCGGAACCGTCTGACGATGATTGACCGGGCTGTTTTGATATTGCACTTACAATAACATTACTCACAGCCACATCACCATTGGTACCACAATCAGAACAATCTTCTCGCTTGCATTTGCGAACTTGGCGTGACAATCCATCAGCATTGCCATGTTTCACGCCAGGTCTGTGTTCAATCTTAAAGTCATAAGCGCCAAGTGTTAATATCCATCTTGCTAACATTCCTTGAGGTTCACGAAAATTGATCAACCATTTCAGAGCAGCATGATCTGTGCGAATTCTGAACGGTCTCCCGAGAAGAAAATGACTGAAGTGACGAACAGCCCACACCACAGCTAATAGTTCCCGGTGTGTAGCACAGTATCTACGTTGAGACTTGGACATAGTCTTACTGGCATAAGAAAGTACACGTTCATTGTCGTCCTGAACTTGAGATAACACTGCACCAATCCCAAAACCACTGGCATCAGTATCCAATACAAATTCGCCGATTGTCCTCGGAAAGCTAAGAATTGGGGCAGATGTCAGACAATGCTTCAAAGTTTCAAAAGCCTTTTGACATTCAGTACTCCATACAAAGGAAATATTCTTCCTGGTCAATCGAATAAGAGGTCCAGCAATTGTTGAATAATCTTGAACAAACTTCCGGTAGTAGTTCGCTGTGCCTAGAAAACTACGAATATCGCTGACAGAATTTGGCGTTTTCCATTCTTTAATAGCCGCAACATTTCCAGGGTCGCAACAGACACCGTCAGATGAAATAAGATAACCAAGATAAGAGGTGCTTCGACGGAAAAGTTTACATTTCGAGGGCTTCAAGCGTAAACCGGCACGGCGAAGTCTTATAAAAACTTCCCGAAGATTTGAGAGTGCCATTGAGAAATCACTACCATGAGCCAAAACATCATCAAGAAAATTGAAACACCCGTTCCACAGGAGATCACCAAGGATATTGTCCATCATCCGTTCGAATGTTGCGGGAGCATTCGCCAAACCGAAAGGCATCACTACAAAGTGAAAATGACCACGGCCTGGGATGCTGAATGCTGTCTTTTCACGGTCTGCAGGATCAACCTCCACTTGCCAATATCCGCTAGCGAGATCAAGAGTTGAGAACCATTGTGCTCCGTTTAAGGACTCAATGATATCCTCAATACGCGGCAAGGGATATGCGTCCTTGTATGTGACGTCATTAAGCAATCTAAAATCCACGCAAAATCTGGTAGAACCATCCTTTTTGGGAACTAGGACAATGGGAGAAGAATATGGGGAATCGCTGGGTTCTATGACACCCTTAGCCAGCATATTATCAACAGTTTCTTCGGCTATCTTCCTACGCGCCCACCCCATTCGACGAGGAGCCTGCCGAATCGGCTGTGGTGTGGTTGTGATGATCCTATGCTTTGCTGCTGAAGTACGACCAAGTTCACCATTTGGTCCTACAAATACATCATGAAATTCACAAATCAAATTGACCAACTGTTCACGTTGACTCGGGGTTAAATCCTCAACGGAATTGACCATGTCATGTAGATGTTCTGGTAATTCAGAAGCTATAACCCGATTATCGGATTCGTCAACTTGAATTTGTGCTACAAGCTGAGGATGTGCAATACCAATCAAAGATCCAGTCCTGATCTTAAGTTGTCTGCCTTCTTGGTTCACCGCTAGAACAGGAACAGTGGACTTTTTTGGATCCACAACAGAAGAGATCAGCTGAATGCCATCAGCGAGGAAAGAAGAATTCAGCGGTTCAACAAGAGCAGCAACGTCAGACAGATTGCTTTTCGGCCAAGGACGACTAAGTTGTGCAGGGATAACAACCTTAGAATATGGCGGTATCGTAATATCTTCTCGAACAGTTACACGACAACACGGTACAGACTTTTCAGTAAACAGTTTGATTTCATGACCCTCCATCATCATGTGTCCAGATGATAAGTAAAGAACGCAATCATGTTCTCGGAGATAGTCCATGCCCAAAATACCATTAGACATACCTAGGTTGGCAACAACAACAGTGCGTCGCGATGCAAAAGAATCAATAGACAAATCAACTTCCAAAGTACCCAGTGGTAATAAATCATGTCCTCCCACTGCAACAAGAGATTCTTCGAGCGGTGCTAAATGTGCTTCTTTCCCACCTATAGCCTCAAAGATGGAAATGTCGATCAGAGTAGTCATAGCACCACTATCTACAAGAAAATTGAACGGTTGATTGTTTACAAGTACCTTTGCATGCCAACTATTGTCATATTGCAAGGAACAAATATTCAGGTCTATATTCTGGTTCGTTGGTCCGTCATCAAGTAATAATTCAGCGGACACTGAGGACCTCAAGCCCGCTGAGTGTCGTTTAAATTTGCGGTCGAAGAGGAAGCAGCTGT